GCGGTAACACAGTCACATCACAGTGACCAACCATGCGGTAACACAGTCACATCACAGTGACCAACCATGCGGTAACACAGTCACGTCACAGTGACCAACCATGCGGTAACACGTTTACATCACAGTGATTAATCATGTGGTAACACAGTCACGTCACAGTAACAAACCATGCGGTAACACAGTCACGTCACAGTGACCAACCATGCGGTAACACAGTCACATCACAGAGAACCACCACTGGGTAATGTAATCTTTTATGCATAACGCAGGGACTTCAAATGAAAACCTTAAAAGTGTGACAGAAATGACAGCACCCGGGCCATTTTCCTCTAACCTGTCAATATTTTTTGTTAAGGAGGTCAAGACTGTCAGCACATGACATCACGGTGACGTCATAATGACAGTTTAAAGACAGCCACCCACTTATGACATCTGATGCTCCCTCATATAGAGACCATGCAATATTCATGCATATTTCAACAAAATCAGACAATAGAAGCATGTAACAACCCAAGCAAACACATCTGTGATCACAAATATTACGTACATAATTCAATTATTGCCTCCAAATTTCCAATCTTTTAAAAAAAAAAAAAAACATTTTTTGTTTCACAACTTCATCAACAAGAAACACATTTTTGTATCATTCTCGGAAACTCTACCTTGAGAAACTAGAGACAGAGCAGCAGAAGACATGTCGCAGTCGTGGTCAGTCTGTCATGATAATCATGGGGAGCTAAAACCTATGACACCAAGTAGTCAGGCAAGTATGCTAGCTTCTTGGCCATTGTGGCCTTCAAATCATTAAAAGGGTAGAGTTTTCATATTTAGAGTCACTATTTTGAGAAAAAGGAATTTTTTAAATTTTTATTATATATATTTATGTGTGTGTGTGTATAAGGGAAGTAATCCCCAAATACAAAGAGGAAAAAAAAATGTTCTTTCCCCTTGAGCAATAAAACGGGGGTTTCGTTGACACAGCCAAAGGGAGTAAACTGATCATCAGCATAAGTTTATTATGACGTTACAAGGAACCACCCCCCCCCCCCCCCCCAAAAGAAATATTTTACCCCAAACAAATCTTTAAAAAAAAACGTTTCTATTTGTGTTGTAACAATTACCACATCTACCACACCTAGAATGCTGCAGTTGCCGCGGGTACTAAAGATGTTGTATACTGACCACCATCTTAAGACATCACCTCATCAAAAACATCAAATAAGCATTTCAGGATTCTCGCCGGTGCAGTAGAGTTTGTGCACTGTGCTGAGATTCTTCAGACTCAGGCTTAAGTTAGAAGTAGACAAGAGCACTTATGGGTTATGATGTTGAGCTGCGGAGTAAACCATAAACCACACAAACACATTCAAGTCTGAAAAGCGACTTTCTCAGGGGAACAGGACTAATGCAACCATCTTGATTCTGCTCAACAAAGGGACAGAAAAGACAAATACATATCATCTTCGTCTGCTCTCACTCTTGAAAGGATGATTTGTACGTTGTGTTGTGGTTTTAATGCTTCTAATGGGGCCATGGGTCTCTTCTTGTTCTCTCAAAAACAAGGTCCCAGAATAAATGAATGTTTCCACTGGCCCCGTGTCAATGGATGAAACTATAGGGGGAAAAAACATGCATGCACAAACATATGCTCACACACACATGCACACAGCCAGAAAATTATTCAATTTTGTGAAGAAAAAAAACAATCAGATTTACCATTCCACCCCCCCCCCCCTCCCCCCACCCCATGTTGATTAACTCTGTGAGTGCTGCTGCTGCTGTTATTATTATTATTACTATTATTACTACTACTACTATTAATACTCTTTCTTTCATTATACTGCTAAATTTTTTTTTTAAAGGAACAGAAAAAAAATTGCAGTTATCCAATGGCACCTTACTACTGAAAAAAAAATGCACAGCTAAAAAGGAACATAATTTTGACAATGAAAACATTTGTAATGCAATGAATAAATTGTTCAAAATTCATACAAAAATACCTTAGGGTTTAAACAATCAAGTAACAGTTCTTTTGCATCTCGGTCATCGATTTTCGTGTTAAATGATAAAAACATCAACAGATAAGCATGCTTTTTTTTTCTTTTTTTAAACAGCACATTATTACACTGATTTTTGTGTGGTGTTTTAGGATTTCTTTTGTTTCGCAGGTTGATAAATGTGCAGCTGCATGTATGTTCATCTATTCTTTCCCTTCCCTGACTGCTAAATCATTTTTCTGTGTTGTGATCGTTAAAATGTCAGGAACGGCTCCGTCACAAGTGCCCCTAGTTTCAACTTCAAAAAACACCGCTGTCATTTAAATCAAATAGCCTGCATCCAAACTAATTAGCTTTTAGCTTAACTAAAAAGCTTTCAGTCAAACAAAACTGCTTTCCGCCAAACCAAACAGCTTTTGGTCAAACAAAACAAATTTCCGCCAAACCAAACAACTATCAGTGACACCAAACAGCTTCCAGTCAAACCAAAAAGCTCTTTCAAACCAAACAGCTTCCAGTGAAAACAAACAGCTTCCAGTCAAGACAATCAGCTCTTTCAAATCAAAGAGATTTCAGTCAAAACAAACAGCTTTCAGCCAAACCAAGCAGATTTCAGCCAAACTAAACAACTGTCACTCAAACCAAGTACCTTTTAATAAAAATAAACAATTCTCACTCAAACTAAACAGCTTTCTGTCAAACTAAACAGCTTTCTGTCAAACTAAACAGCTTTCTGTCAAACTAAACAACTGTCAGTCAAAACAAAAGCTCTCACTCAACCAAATAAATCTCAGGGGGAAAAAATCAGTTCAAGTAAAACTAAAACAACTCGCAGTTAAACTAAAAAAAAATTCTTCAGGTAAAACTTCTGCACACACACAGAAATATTTACAGAATTATTGTTATTATTATTATACATATGATTATGACATCCAAGCTATATTGTGTTTGACTCCCAGACCCATCAAAACAAACCTTCATCCAAAGAAAGGAAAAAAAAAAGAAAAAAAAAATCACCTTAGTAGCTACAAATCCCTGAAAATCTGGCCACTGTAACATGCAGACAAAAACAAATGAAAATATGTGATATTATGTTGACCGATAAGGTGTTTGATGTCAGTTTTTGGATGAATTAGTTGGACATGTCAAATGAGTCTTCAAACTGTGTACATAAACAGGAGTGACAGCCCTTGAATTGAACATAATACAAACTGCATTAAGAAAGCTCAACGAAAGGAAATGAAAAGACGCGCATAAATACAACCAAGTTTCGCATTTTATGAATTTTTTTTTTTTTTCAACAGGTAATTTTTATATTTTTCCTGTGTATTTCTTGTTTTATGCCTTTCCTGCTCTTTTATGTTTCATTTCGCAACAGCTGTTCCTGTCCATATTTTTCTCTATCAGGTATTTCTGATTCCATGCCGACCATTTCAGTTGTTTAGTTAATTTGTTTTATCTGATCATTACATACTGATCGAAAGGTTTGATTGTTTTTGTGCGTGCCTTTTCCTTCCTTGCACTTCTTTTCCTGTCCCTGCATGTCTTTTTTTTTCACTGCATGTGTTTTCTTTCACTGCTCGTATTTTCTTTCACTGCATGTCTTTTCTTTCACTGCTCGTATTTTCTTTCCCTGCATGTGTTTTCTTTCACTGCTCGTATTTTTTTCCCTGCATGTGTTTTCTTTCACTGCTCGTGTTTTCTTTCCCTGCATGTGTTTTCTTTCCCTGTATGTCTTTTCTTTCTCTGCATGTCTTTTCTTTCCCTGCACATCTTTTCTTTCCCTGCATGTCTTTTCTTTCCCTGTATGCCTTTTCTTTCCCTGTATGCCTTTTCTTTCCCTGTATGCCTTTTCTTTCCCTGCATGTCTTTTCTTTCCCTGCATGTCTTTTCTTTCCCTGCATGTCTTTTCTTTCCCTGCATGTCTTTTCTTTCCCTGCATGTCTTTTCTTTCCCTGCATGTCTTTTCTTTCCCTGCATGTCTTTTCTTTCCCTGTATGTCTTTTCTTTCCCTGCATGTGTTTTCTTTCCCTGCATGTGTTTTCTTTCCCTGCATGTCTTTTCTTTCCCTGTATGTCTTTTCTTTCCCTGCATGTGTTTTCTTTCCCTGCATGTCTTTTCTTTCCCTGCATGTCTTTTCTTTCCCTGCATGTCTTTTCTTTCCCTGCATGTCTTTTCTTTCCCTGCATGTCTTTTCTTTCCCTGCATGTCTTTTCTTTCCCTGCATGTCTTTTCTTTCCTTGTATTTCTTTTCTTTCATTGCACATCTTTTCTTTCCCTGCATGTGTTTTCTTTCCCTGTATGTCTTTTCTTTTATTGCACATCTTTTCTTTCCCTGCTCATCTTTTCTTTCCCTGCATGTCTTTTCTTTCCCTGCATGTCTTTTCTTTCATTGCACATCTTTTCTTTCCCTGCATGTCTTTTCTTTCCCTGCATGTCTTTTCTTTCCCTGCATGTCTTTTCTTTCATTGCACATCTTTTCTTTCCCTGTATGTCTTTTCTTTCCCTATATGTCTTTTCTTTCCCTGTATGTCTTTTCTTTCCCTGCATGTCTTTTCTTTCATTGCACATCTTTTCTTTCCCTGTATGTCTTTTCTTTCCCTGTATGTCTTTTCTTTCCCTGTATGTCTTTTCTTTCCCTGCATGTCTTTTCTTTCCCTGTATGTCTTTTCTTTCATTGCACATCTTTTCTTTCCCTGCATGTCTTTTCTTTCCTTGCATGTCTTTTCTTTCACTGCTCGTATTTTCTTTCCCTGTATGTCTTTTCTTTCATTGCTCGTATTTTCTTTCCCTGTATGTCTTTTCTTTCCCTGCATGTCTTTTCTTTCATTGCACATCTTTTCTTTCCCTGCATGTCTTTTCTTTCCCTGCATGTCTTTTCTTTCCCTGCATGTCTTTTCTTTCACTGCTCGTATTTTCTTTCCCTGTATGTCTTTTCTTTCATTGCTCGTATTTTCTTTCCCTGTATGTCTTTTCTTTCATTGCTCGTATTTTCTTTCCCTGTATGTCTTTTCTTTCATTGCACATCTTTTCCTTTCAAAGCACCTCTTTACCTTTGCTGCATACATTTTCTTTCCTGCATACATTTTTCTTCCCCCCCCCCCCCCCTATTTTCTTTCCCTGCAAGACTTTTCTTAGCACAACTTTTTTTTCTTCTTTCTGAGTACAACTTTTTCTTTTCCAGCACATCTTTCTAGTCACAGCTTATTTAATGTTTATCTACTTCTTCACATTGAATAAACTGACACAACATGACATGTCACTTAAATTTTGGGATAGATAAACGTGAATTCCCAACATCAATCTTTGGGTGAATAAATCCAACATTGCATAACAATTTTGTTTGTGTGTGTGCGTAAAATGGCATAATATACCAGTCTTCGTGTTGAATAAACTTTAAATTGACATAGTCTTCATACTAAATAAACCTTAAATGATACATCAGAGTTCATTATGAATAAATCTTAAATGACATGCATCTTCATACTGAACAAACCTTCAATGACACGTGTATTCATACTGAATAAACCTTCAATAATACACCAGTGTCCATATTAAATACACCTTCATTGATATACCAGTGTCCATGATGAAAACACCTTCAATGATATACATGTCAATGATGAATACACCTTCAATGATATACCAGTGTCCATGATTAAAACACCTTCAATGATAAACCAGTGTCCATGATGAATACACCTTCAATGATATACCAGAGTCCAAGATGAAAACACCTTCAATGGTATACCAATGTCCATGATAAATATACCTTCCATGATATACTAGTCTTCCTACTGAATAAACCTAATATGATCAGACATGTCGCAACAATCTTTGGTTAAAAAAATCTGACACAACATTTTAGTCTACAGACAAAGCACTAGACATGATATACCATCTTCTGAACTATCTACACGTGCCATGACCTGACCACACCAGTCCTCGGACTAAACGTTTCACATAATATTTTAGACTTTGCCCTGATCGACTTGACACATGAACTATGACAGCCATCGCCCTGATTAAGTCAGCACATCGTGACATGAAATGTCGGGATTTGTCCTGATAAACCTGGCACATTATGACATGAAATCTTCGCTTTTGCCCTGATAAACTTGGCACATCGTGACATGAAATGTCGGCCTTTGCCCGGATAAACCTGGCACATTGTGACATGAAATGTCGGCCTTTGCCCGGATAAACCAGGCACATTGTGACATTAAATGTCAGATTTCACCCTGATAAAGCTGACACATGACATGATGGCCTTGACCCTGATTAACTTGGCACATCATGCCGTTTTATGCCAACATTCACACTGATTCACCCAACACGACTGAATCACAACATTCAATGACCCTGGAGCCAAGGTCAAGTGGTTTCATGCACAGATGGAGACAATATGGACAACAAATAAATGAACACAAAATTGACTTTATGTACGAAGGACCACAAGAAGAAAGAAAAACAGTCCACGGCATCTGACAGCAAGGGCTGCAAGTTACCAGCAACAGAGGACTAATGACAAGTCGGATATATCATGAAACTACTGCATTGTAATGTACTGGTGTTACCTTTCCTTCAGAGTAAACAAGGTAGGCTATCATGATGCATGGGAAACATATGAACCTCTACAATACTATCCAGGCTTTAGGCTTTGGAGAGAAGAAACTTCATTCGCAAGCCTTCCGAGCAGCACAATATAACAACAACATCTTCTGGAAACATAGAAGGGTGCCCCCCCCCCCCCCCAAACAAAAACCACTGTAATGAGGACCTTAAATGAGACTCACCAAACAGATGAAGCAAGAATGACGACCTACACAATGATGATGATGAATGTAAACAGTCATGAACAGAAACACTGTAATGAGGACCTTAAATGAGACTCACCGAACAGATGAAGCAAGAATGACGACCTACACAATGATGATGATGGTGAATGTAAACAGTCATGAACAGAAACACTGTAATGAGGACCTTAAATGAGACTCACCGAACAGATAAAGCAAGAATGACGACCTACACAATGATGATGATGATGAATGTAAACAGTCATGAACAGAAACACTGTAATGAGGACCTTAAATGAGACTCACCGAACAGATGAAGTAAGAATGACGACCTACACAATGATGATGATGAATGTAAACAGTCATGAACAGAAACACTGTAATGAGGACCTTAAATGAGACTCACCGAACAGATGAAGCAAGAATGACGACCTACACAATGATGATGATGAATGTAAACAGTCATGAACAGAAACACTGTAATGAGGACCTTAAATGAGACTCACCGAACAGATGAAGCAAGAATGACGACCTACACAATGATGATGATGAATGTAAACAGTCATGAACAGAAACACTGTAATGAGGACCTTAAATGAGACTCACTGAACAGATGAAGCAAGAATGACGACCTACACAATGATGATGATGAATGTAAACAGTCATGAACAGAAAGAGCATTAAACAATGGAAGGTGAAGTGTTAACTGAACAAGGTTTGATACAGTTAGCAGTAGATCCAAGACAAAATTTGATGAAACGGGCAAGACAAAATCAGAATGAGACCAGACAAGAACAGAACAAAAATCAAGAAGAAAAGACGAGTCGAAATAAGACTAGATAAAATAAGGAACAGGCCAGATAAAGTTTTTTTAAAAGGGCTAAAGCAAAAAAAATTAAAATTGTGAAACAACAAGACAAAGCAAGAGAAGACAAACTAAATTCAGACAAGACAGAATCATATAGTAACACATTAGACAAGGAGAAAACAGACAAGGCCGATGAGACAAGATGGGTTAAAACACAACAGAACACACACAAAATAAGATAAAATTAGATGTAACAATATTAGACACGACAGGAGAAAATAAGATAAAACAGGACAGTATTAGATAAGATAGGACAATGTTAGTTGCAATAAGATGTTAAATAAGACAGGACAATGTTATGTGCAATAAGATGTTAGTTAAGACAAGACAGAATTGGATCAGACAGGACAACATTAGATCAGACAGGACAATACTAGATCCGACAGGTCAACATTAGATCAGACAGGATAATATTAGATCAGACAGGATAATATTAGATTAGACAGGACAACATTAGATCAGACAGGTCAACATTAGATCAGACAGGACAACATTAGATCAGACAGGACAACATTAGATCAGACAAGACAATACTAGATCAGACAGAATAATATTAGATCAGACAATACAACATTAGATCAGACAGGACAACATTAAATAAGACAGAACAATACTAGATCAGACAGGATAATATTAGATCAGGCAGGACTATATTAGATCAGAACACAAGATAAGATACAACCCTAAAATACACGACAAGAGACAATAAAAAGAAAGCAACAAGGAATCAAACTTTTTTATCTCTCGCTAAGGAGATTCTTTCAGACATACTACTGTTTTCTTATCTATTTAAATTATCTTCTAAACTGTATCGTTGTCTACCTATTACTCGTTTGCCTTTAAATTCTGTCTCTAAGATAGGGGTTCAAAAATGTGTTTTTAATTTTTTTGTTGCATAAAAAAATTTACAGATGACGTCAAAGAGGGTAAGTAATACACCCTGTCCAGAAAACATGAAACATGCCATTACTGTTGCCAGATTTCCTCAGTATGCTGTAACCAAAAGTAAGCTGCAACACAACATGTTATGCTATAGTTATGATTGTTGGAGACATGAGAATCACAAATCATTCACTTCAGGACTGAATGCAATTAAGTACCTCTTTTTCCTTTCTTTCATTCTTTCATGTCTCTTCATTCTCATCTTCTCTGTAATTTCATTTGCTTGACATTGTTTCCATGGAATGACACCTATTCTTTTGTATATCTACTATTTCCATGGAATGTCATCTATTCTTTAATCCATGTTCCTATTTGTTTCAATGAAATGACACTTATTATGCATACCTACAATTCTACGACTCCAAGTGAACATAAATTTAAAAACTTTCCAAGCCTTCAGGCATATTGGGCATTTCCAGCTAGATCTATATTTTATAGACCAATCAACAATGAGAGGGTGATGTGGTTAGAATCATGCCAGCCACCTTTACTTCCCAAGACTGTACCTGGTACCCACTCAAGGCTGGGTCAACCCGACAGCCTAGCTTATTTTGGAAAAAATTTGGCTCGGCTGGGACTCAAACCCACAACCTTCCAATCCACAGGCGGGCGCCTAGTTACTACACCATGAGATCTCTAGTGTTTCTATGTTTCAACTGAGTGTTATTTTTCACAGATTCTTTAATGTGACTACGTTAATATCTTCTTGCTTGCTGATGAAGGATTTCTAGCCAGTGTCCATTTTACGTCCTGTGATTATGTTTCTGAAATCCGACCCAGTCCACGCTATTCATCGACTTTCTCTAGATAACTGGGTCCTAATTAGATAAGACTCATAATGGGCTCACCTTTGAAGGTCTGCCAGGGAAACCAGATTTTTAAATCTTCTGTCTTTCTTCATGCTGTTCTACTTTGCTGTAAAGCGTCGCAGAGAGCGGTTAGATGTAGTTTCCTGTCTTTCGCTGGTTGGGTAACTTTTGTTAATGTAAATATTGTGTATCTGTAGTGTCTCCTTTACTCCCCCTCACCCATCCCATCCCTTTTTTGCCGTGTAGCCTGCTGTTCACATGCAGTACATTCTAGGTACTGCTGATTTGTGTTCCATGCTGACCAGATGACCAAAGCATTCGAGACTCTAATGTTTTGTGAAATCATTTACTGGTACTGTGCCTACCATTGTTCTCAGGTCTTTGTTAGGAATTCATTTTGGTTTCCCAATTTTTTTTAAACAGTAATATTTGAAATTTTAAAAATTCAACCAATAAAAAACCAAGTATAATCCATATCAGAATTGCAAAATGAGACGACTAAGACTGGCAGCGGTGGTGTGGAGAATGAGGGGGAGGAGGGGGACATCAAGAGCCCTATAAACTTGTTTCATGGGCCCTCAACTGGGGGTCCATGCTCTAGAGCTCAGTGTCCCCCATTAGTTTCCATACTAAGTTTTAAAAAAAAAACTTTCTGAAAACTATTTTTTTTAAATATATATATAATCATGTTTTACATGACTTTCACTGTTTTGTAGACACATTTTGACGTGTGTCCTCCACTGCTGAAGATTACGTCTAAGCCCAGATGCAGTTATGCCCCTGTAATGGCGGTGATACTTTTATTTTTCCTAGTTACAGAAACTGATGGGACAAGCTGTAATCATCAGAGCTTCTATGTCTGTAGGTACAAAGCAGCAAATAACTGGAACATCATCCTCAAAAGATGTCGGAACAAATTTATTTGTAGTCTTTCTGGAAGTTCATCCGAGATGCAGACAACTAAAACTACAGACAGATTAAACAAAAAAAGCATGATCAGATAAAGGTAAACACAGCAACTCTGGAAAACACTTCTACATCTACTGACCACATCAACATTTCCCTATGATGGGTAGTGAAATCAGAAACCTAGCCTAATCAGATAAGGATGAAAAAACTGACAGGAGATCACTTGTGAATGTTCACATCAAACAGCAGCTGGACATCACAAAGAAAGGGCCATAAGGTTGCTGCTAAAATGGCTCGGAAATTATTCAGTGTCTAAACAAATGAACAGACAAGGATGCTATCAGTTTAGGGGAACTGAGAAGAGAAAAGAAGTAACATTTTTACGCCAGCGGGTGTTTACAAAAATGACTGTGACCGCCAAAATTGGCACAAAGTCGTCTTGACCTCATTTATAGTATTCAGCAGTTGTCAAATCTGGCAGAAAGTCCTGGCTGTATATCCACTTCTGGACTTTATCTTGTTCCAGAAATGAGTTAAGCATGTTCATCCATTTCAAAGAACTGGCATATTTGTGTGCAGACTGTTGGTTCCTCACTTCTTCTCAGGCTTTGAGGGAAATACCCCTAAACAGTTGGCTCTTACAACATGCTTGTTAGGGCCACAGTGGGTCTACTCTTCTTTGTCTCAAAGTGGGGCTTCAGAACTCATACAGGACAAAGGGGTAATGTCCTGGCGAGTAAAGGCGGCCTAGTTGATGTTGACAAAATCCCCCACTGACCGGTTAATAAAAATGTGAGTTCAGCACCATATGCCACGCTGGCATGAGAGGGATTTTGACTTTCTTTATTACCATATCCCATCTGACACAGTGTTAAGTAAAGGACCCTTTCCCCACCCCTTCAGGCGTATTGGGCATATAGGGTTAGACCTATATTTTACAGACCAATCAGCATTTAGTGAATGATGTTATCAACATCATGCAAGCAGCTTTTACTTCCCAGGACCATACCTGGTATCCACTCAAAGCTGCGTCGACCTGGGAGCCAAAGTCTGTTCTTTTTTATAAGTCCAGCTTTGTCAAGCTGAAACTGTGTGGGCAAATCTAAATTCGGCCGGCGTGATGCTGACCACATCACCCATCTTGTGCCAATTGGTTTATAAAATATAGGTCTAGCCCCATATGCCTAAGGCGTAGAAAAGGGTCCTTGACTTTTTTTAACAAATCTAAATTATTTGGATGAAAGTGTACAGTGTGAAGGTAGGGGATGAAGATGAAGAAGACGGAGTCTCTGATACCTTGAGAATCCCCCAACATCACAGTATACCGGGAAGCCGAGCGTGTCCTAGCTGGGATACCAATCATCTGTTAACCTGTGATGCCCAGCAGCACAAAGCAACTTATCGACAAAAGTAGATCAAAGAAACACCCAACCTCAACATGATGGCAGCGTGGTGAATGCTTTTTTTTTCTATGTTTATCAGCAGACATAAACGCATCATATCTGTTTACACCATAGCTAGAATATGTGCACCTTCCGGCCAACATATCCAACTTCTGCAGAAATTTATTGTCTGAGTTAGCCTTCCTGGGTGTCGTAAAATCTAATTTTTTTTTTGGGCGTTCACCCTAAAAAAAAAAAGCAGTTACTACATTGCGTTGCGGTTCGCAGCTAGGCTGCAATATCTGTGCCTTTCAGCCAGTTTTAGTTTCAGCAAACTAGTCGCCTTTTACAAAATGCTTGCTGGCACTATGGGGGGGGGGGGGGGGGGGGGGGGGTCAGCAAGATAAGACTTTTTGTTTTCTCCCCAAAATGGTGCTCTGGAACCCACACTAGAAGAATCTAAATTAATGTCTAACACTGCCTCTACACAATTACTGAACTATTCCTCAATGATGATTCAAACAGTGGGATCTCTTTCAACAACTTCTGCTAAGTGGTCTTTCAAATGCCATCACATTTCCCCTTTGTAAATGGTGTTTACTTTTGTAAATTACGTTTTCACCTCTGTAAATGGTGTTATCACCTTTTAGTGTGATGAACTAAGATTAATGAGTCAACTTAAAATTCATCCCAACTGATTTCTGCTTTTAATTGTATAACATTGGCACTATGCGTTTGTGGCTCTGTAATGCCAGGTTCGATCCCAGCCACATGCAATGTTTCACCTTGTTGGTTTCCACGTACCAGTGTCAGTGGCAAAAATCCTAAGCTAAACAGTCAGTGGTGACAGCACTAGCCACACGACTCAAAATCCTCAGTCTCAAAGACCCTTCCACCCCACCCCACTCTCTTTACGCAGCAGAAAGAAAAGCAGGCAGTATTTGACAGTTTTGGCATTTTCAGAGCTGTTATTTGTAACTTTACAAAAACAAAAAAGTACACGCATGCGATTTTCTGGAAACAAGGACTGAACACAGATCATTTTGGCAGAGAGTAAACGACATATGTCACCTAATTCTCAGATTTCTAAGTTTCATGACTGACATCAACAATTTGTAATTATTAGTTTTAATTGAATCCAGTGTTATTAACTAACATTTCATATATTTTAGTAATTATTGTTATAACATTTTCATTTAATAAAAATGACCAACGTACGGTCGCCTTTTGAATCATTAATTTTCCTAAAACATTTCATTTGTGCTACTTCTTTATTCTAAAATATTTTTATTTTAATGTCTTTCCATCTCTGAAAACATTTTTGTCGCTGTGTCTTCAAAAATAATTTCCTTAACTGTTTCCCATTTCTTTAAATATTCTCTACAGTTTTGTTTTGTTCGTCTCAAATGTTTGGCCACTTAAATCCATGTTTTTATATAATCTATCCTCAAATTATGTGGACTAATCAACAGTATTTTTTCTTCTTCCGTGTTTGCTCTTAAGATGGCGGTTATGTGGTTTACAGTTGGGCTGTGATATCTGCATCTTTCTGCATTCAATTTCAGCAAATTCCGAATTAATCGCCTTTTAATCATGCTTGTTAAGGTGGTAGTGAAACCTCTTCCTACCTCCAAAATGGCGTCCCACCACCACCCAAAGGGGAATAATCGATACTATTTAGTTGTAAACTATTCTAACGCTTAATTTGAGAAAGTTCAACAGTCCAAAACTTGAGTCAACGGTCCAAAACTTGGGCTCACACTAACAGAAAACAACACGGATCTTAAGTTGGCAATATAACCTACATGTTGTATAGAAAGAACAACTTAAAACACAGCTGTAGTCACATCACAAACACAATAGTTCTTCAGTAAACTTGACAAGCCAGGAGACAGAAAAAAAGATGGTGGTCTCATCCAGGCTCCTTCACTGGATGCTCTCAACCTCGCCCGCGGCGTTCTTCCTGTTGGGGTCAGCATGGACGGTGAATCCCAGAATGCTACCATCCAGCTTCTGCATCTTCTGCTTCTTCTTGCGGTTCTTGGCCTTGCCTGCACCACCTTCACCAACATCATTGGCAGAGTTGCTGTTGTTGCCCCCACCACCCACTCTGGTCTGGCTGTGTGGGTTGATAGCAGGCGCTGGGCCCCAAATGCTGTCCTGGATCAAGTAAAAAGAAACAAAACAAAAAAGTAAAGAAACAAAACAAAAAAGTAAAGGATCCTTGTCCCCATCTTTAGGCATATAGCAAAACTCAATTAATGAACACTCATGGGACTTCTTAACTAATGGACACATGTATCCTTTCCCCTCCCGCCTTCTTTTTCTGCCCTTCAAACCTGTGAGGTTCACTGCTGCAGGTTTAAACTCCCTTCACACCTGTGAGGTTCACTGCTGCAGGTTTAAACTCCCTTCAAACCTGTGAGGTTCACTGCTGCAGGTTTAAACTCCCTTCAAACCTGTGAGGTTCACTGCTGCAGGTTTAAACTCCCTTCAAACCTGTGAGGTTCACTGCTGCAGGTTTAAACTCCCTTCAAACCTGTGAGGTTCACTGCTGCAGGTTTAAACTCCCTTCAAACCTGTGAGGTTCACTGCTGCAGGTTTAAACTCCCTTCAAACCTGTGAGGTTCACTGCTACAGATTTAAACTCCCTTCAAACCTGTGAGGTTCACTGCTGCAGGTTTAAACTCCCTTTAAACCTGTGAGGTTCACTGCTGCAGGTTTAAACTCCCTTCAAACCTGTGAGGTTCACTGCTGCAGATTTAAACTCCCTTCAAACCTGTGAGGTTCACTGCTGCAGGTTTAAACTCCCTTCAAACCTGTGAGGTTCACTGCTGCAGGTTTAAACTCCCTTCAAACCTGTGAGGTTCACTGCTGCAGGTTTAAACTCCCTTCAAACCTGTGAGGTTCACTGCTGCAGGTTTAAACTCCCTTCAAACCTGTGAGGTTCACTGCTGCAGGTTTAAACTCCCTTTAAACCTGTGAGGTTCACTGCTGCAGATTTAAACTCCCTTCAAACCTGTGAGATTCACTGCTGCAGGTTTAAACTCCCTTCAAACCTGTGAGGTTCACTGCTGCAGGTTTAAACTCCTTTCAAACCTGTGAGATTCACTGCTGCAGGTTTAAACTCCCTTCAAACCTGTGAGGTTCACTGCTGCAGATTTAAACTCCCTTCAAACCTGTGAGGTTCACTGCTGCAGGTTTAAACTCCCTTCAAACCTGTGAGGTTCACTGCTGCAGGTTTAAACTCCCTTCAAACCTGTGAGGTTCACTGCTGCAGATTTAAACTCCCTTCAAACCTGTGAGGTTCACTGCTGCAGATTTAAACTCCCTTCAAACCTGTGAGGTTCACTGCTGCAGGTTTAAACTCCCTTCAAACCTGTGAGGTTCACTGGTGCAGGTTTAAACTCCCTTCAAACCTGTGAGGTTCACTGCTGCAGATTTTAACTGCCTCACTGGCCCACTCTTTCCTCCTGGTGGCTCAGAGTGTTTGTACGCCTGCCTGAAGATGATCCCTCAACACTCCTTTTGATCCGCCTCATGGTCCGCGGCCATTCCACCCTTTTGTCTCCGTTATCTGCCACTCTACATATCCCAACCATCGCCACCTATTAGACCTCATTTCAAGGACCCTTTTCCCAGCCTTCAGGCCCCATCGCCCACTAGCTCGCCTGTAGACAACTTCGTCACCAGTCAGGACAGTGTTTGGGTTTGTCTCCAGGATTCTCACATCAGCACTGCAGGATTCCTCTTCAGGGCTCTTAGTGGCGAGCAATGCTGAGCTATTTTATGTGGCGCACATAACCTAGTCACAATTATAACCTAAAGCTCCCCCTTCGGGATTGTTGGTTAAACGTGAAAACTTTATTTTTCCAGCAAAGCACCCCTGCCCTCAGGCATATTGGGCATATAGGGCTAGACTTATATTATGGACTGATGGGCACTCGTGTGTGATGTAATCAACATCATTCCGGCCGCCTTTACTCCCAGGACTTTACCTGGTGCCCATTTAATGTTGGGAGGACCAGGCAGCCAAGGTCAGAGGGCATGTGTTGAGACAAGATCTGACTGGAAAGGTTGTACTTCAAGGAACACTTGGAAGGGGGGGGGGGGATCTTGATCAAAGATTCTTCTTCTTCTTCTTCTTCACTTCCTCTTTTACCGCTGTCGGTGTCGAGGGAGATATAAGGTTCTGTTTCTGGCTCTTCTGGCCGCCTCGACCATCTTCTTCTTCTTCACTTCCTCTTTTACCGCTGTGGGTGTCGAGGAAGATATAAGGTTCTGTTTCTGGCTCTTCTGGCCGCCTCGACCTTCTTCTTCTTCTTCACTTCCTCTTTTACCGCTGTGGGTGTCGAGGGAGATATAAGGTTCTGTTTCTGGCTCTTCTGGAAGCCTCGACCTTATTCTTCTTCTTCAATTCCTCTTTTACTGCTGTGGGTGTCGAGGGAGATATAAGGTTCTGTTTCTGGCTCTTCTGGCCGCCTCGACCATAGGCACATCGTGCTGTTGTAGAGCTTCTCTGATGTTATCCTTCCATCTTGTTCTTGGTCTACCTCTTGCTCTTCGTCCTTCTTCTCTTTTCATGTATGCTTTGTATGGTATGGTGTCACAAGGCATTCTCTCTAAGTGGGCAAACCATTTCACTTGCTGTCTTTGTATGTAATCCAGAATTGGTTCTGTGCCGACTTGTTCTCTTATGATCTCATTCCTGATCTTATCTCTTATGGTCACTCCTACAGCCCTTCTCAGTCATCTCATCTCCGTGGTTACTAATTTTCTTTTATGGTTTGTTGTGAGTGACCATGTCTGGCACTGGTAGCACAGAGTTGGAATAAATATGCTTTGAATAAGATGTCTCTTTGTGCTGATTGGGATTGTCTTATGCTGTAGAATAATGTGAAGAATAACATCAATAAATGGACAGGGCCAAATGACTATACACTTGGTCAACAACCAGAAGACGAAACAAGTTGGCAGGTTTTGAGTTCTAGTGCTTCCATACAATGATACACCCTCACGACCCTAACAGGGTCAAGAATTTGGTTGTTATGTTATTCTCCATGTCAGCAAATTTCATGTGTCATTATCCTAATCATCATCATCAATTTCCACTTCTACCAAAAAGCGTGGTGGGAAGGAACAGTTTGCGATCCACTGCTTTGATGGACAGCATTGGCTATTGTCATTCCGTGTCGATGTATCTTTAATGTCATCAATCCATCTTCTCCTAGGGCAGCCTCTTGAGATCTTTTCACGTGTAGCGCCTGTGTTGGTAATTGTTCTGGCTGCATTCTTACCATCTGATCTTCTGTTTCCCAGTAAATTTCCTGTGTATGACACCAAAATGCAAACACCATGAGTATAACTAAGTAAGTACCATCTGTGTACATGAACAGAAAGAATGTCCCATGTGTACATTTAACCAGATGACATTAGTGTGTTCACAACCAATTATCATAAGTCTTCTTCTCTCGTCTTCACGTCCACCGGATGTAAACTCCGGTGGAAAGTTCTGGATATTCATCCACCTCCAGACTTTAGTCTTCTTCCAGAACCCCAGTGTTGCATGCACATCCGTTTCACATATCTTACTTATCTGTATGCAGACTGTTGGTTCTTTGCCTCTCAGGCAGATGCACTTCGACTTCGAATGAAGTCCCCAGTTAGTCAACTATTATGTCATGCTTTTGGGGAGGCACTGGGTCTATTCTTGTTTTCCCCCAAAAATGGGGCCTCAGAACCCACACAAGGAATATATATCATAAGTATATAACAGATTCAGTCGGTGTCTGTGGCTTAGGTGTTGTGAACAAGTTTCATAATGCCTGTGTGCCAGGTTCAATCCTAGCTGCAGGCTTTTGTGTTGGTTTCAACAGTGGTATTGAGAAGTCAACCGCCCAGAAAACAATGGCAAACTACTAGACGTAAATGTGCCTAGAAAAATCACAACAGCCAAAAAATGATGGGGATGGTTCTCCAATGTCCTTTTAAAAGATACGCAACTAACTTTAACTTTAAATATAACAAAAATCAACAAGCAGCTAGAGTGTACTGAATGAGAGAACAGCAAGCTACAAGGCTGACAATGATGGGTGAGAGAGTAAAAAAGACACTAAAGAAATGCAATATAACATTAACACAAACTACACAACAAGCACAAGACAGGAGACTACAGCAAACTCCTCTCTGCAACGATGTGTGGCATAAGCAGTAGGATAAAAGAAAGACAGAAACAAATTGTGAGTATATATTTAGACAAATGTCATCTGTGCTGGAACAAGTATGTGAGGAAAAGACCAGAGACAAGATGGCAACAACACACACCTCCTCCTGCTGCTTCTCCAGCCGCGCCTGGTTGCGGAAGTAATTCCGCTTCTCCACAAACTGCCTGGCAAAGTCTCTCGATTCTTTCGTATCACCGAGGTAAGTCTTCATATACTCTCTAACCTAAAACACAGAGAAGATTGTCCTGTACTCACTTATCTGGAATATGTAGTCAATCATGAATGTGGTCAACTATTTTTTTAAACATTTTCCCCTGATATATTAAACAATTTTTTAAAATCAAAGCTACCAAAATGAAATGTTTACAACGAATCCTGAAAGTAACTGTAAGAGACAGGACATGCTTGCTAGCGGCAATATGTCTATTCTGTATTTTATATTTTTGTCTGTCTGTTGCTGGCCACAATGAGATCCTGGAACCCATACAGGGGGTCAAAGCTGACCACAATGGGGTCCAGGAACCCATACAAGCTGACCACAATGGGGTCCAGGAACCCATACAAGCTGACCACAATGGGGCCCAGGAACCCATACAAGCTGACCACAATGGGGCCCAGGAACCCATACAAGCTGACCACAATGGGGCCCAGGAACACATACAAGCTGACCACAATGGGGCCCAGGAACCCACACAAGCTGACCACAATGGGGCCCAGGAACCCATACAAGCTGACCACAATAGGGCCCAGGAACCCATACAAGCTGACCACAATGGGGCCCGGGAACCCATACAAGCTGACCACAATGGGGCCCAGGAACCCATACAAGCTGACCACAATGGGGCCCAGGAACCCATACAAGCTGACCACAATAGGGCCCAGGTACCCATACAAGCTGATCACAATGGGGCCCAGGAACCCATACAAGCTGACCACAATGGGGCCCAGGAACCCATACAAGCTGACCACAATGGGGCCCAGGAACCCATACAAGCTGACCACAATGGGGCCCAGGAACCCATACAAGCTGACCACAATGGGGCCCAGGAACCCATACAAGCTGACCACAATGGGGCCCAGGAACCCATACAAGCTGACCACAATGGGACCCAGGAACCCATACAAGCTGACCACAATGGGACCCAGGAACCCATATAAGCTGACCACAATGGGGCCCAGGAACCCATACAAGCTGACCACAATGGGACCCAGGAACCCATACAAGCTGACCACAATGGGACCCAGGAACCCATATAAGCTGACCACAATGGGACCCAGGAACCCATATAAGCTGACCACAATGGGACCCAGGAACCCATACAGGGAGTCAAAGCTTCAACTGGCCAGACATGTGATATTTCTAGGATTTATCTTCAGTTTAGTGATTTTCATGTGTGTATTCTTTTTTGTATTGTGCTGATAAAGGCTCTCTAGCTGCAATATTCACTTGTTGTTTGACACAGTCACAGTCCTCTAAATGTGTAAAGTGATGGGACAATACTCACTGGAGCAGTTCAAATACCTTGGAGTTGTAATAGACCATAATGGAGGCACTAAGGCAGAGCTGGCTACTTGAAAAGCAGCTGCTGGGAGACTTTTCCAGGCCATAAACTGAGGGTTTCTTGGAAGAAGAGAAATTGGCAAGAGGATGAAAATGGCTGTTTACCGCTCTACCTATGTACCAGTCCTGACCTATGGGTGTGAATCATGGGCAATGACAACAGCCCACAGAAGCCAGCTTCAGGCCTCAGAAATGAGATATCTGAGAAAGGTGGTCCAATGACACGATCTTGATACCCAGTCCCTACAAACCCGAATGGATCAGTCAGTTACAATGGTTTGGACATGTATACAGAATGGGACAAAATTGGCCAATAGCAGGCATGAGAGCCTAAGAACCAGGGAACCATACCTCCAGGGCCACGCTGGAAAGACATCATCCAACAGTCCCTAAATGACAGAGGATTGGAATGGCAAAGCCAGAAGAAAAAAACTGCTAATAGAGAATGTCTGGCGATCTCTCTGGCAAACCTCTACACCCCAAGGTAGAAGAGGAGCGACTAACATGACAAATGACGAACAAATAATTATGAGAATAATTATTATAGTAATAATTTTTGTAAAACCAGTAATGAATGCTGTAATGATGAGAGTAATGATACTAAGAATGATATCAGTAACAACACTAATGATAAAGGTAGTAATGATGACAGCAGTCAAGTAGTAGACCACTACAGACACACAGGAGGAAGTGAAGAAGAATCAACAAATGTGAATGTATTACCATCAATGGGTGGACAGAATAAATAGACTAGTCACACAGTAGACCACACAAACACACAGACAAGAAGCAGAGTCGGTTACCATCAATGGGTGCTCAGAATAAATAGACTAGTCACACAGTAGACCACACAGACAAGAAGCAGAGTCTGTTACCATCAGTGGGTGCACAGAATAAATAGACTAGTCACACAGTAGACCACACAAACACACACATAAAAAAGCTGAGTCTGTTACCATCAATGGGTGCACAGAATAAATAGACTAGTCACACAGTAGACCACACAGACAAGAAGCAGAGTCTGTTACCATCAATGGGTGCACAGAATAAATAGACTAGTCACACAGTAGACCACACAGACAAGAAGCAGAGTCTGTTACTATCAATGGGTGCACAGAATAAATAAACTAGTCACCCAGTAGACCACACAGACAAGAAGCCGAGTCTGTTACTATCAATGGGTGCACAGAATAAATAGACTAGTCACACAGTAGACCACACAGACAAGAAGCCGAGTCTGTTACCAAGAAGCCGAGTCTGTTACCATCAATGGGTGGGCAGAATAAATAGACTAGTCACACAGTAGACCACACAGACAAGAAGCCGAGTCTGTTACCATCAATGGGTGCACAGAATAAATAGCCTAGTCACACAGTAGACCACACAAACACACAGACAAGAAGCAGAGTCTGTTACCATCAATGGGTGCACAGAATAAATAGACTAGTCATACAGTAGACCACACAGACAAGAAGCAGAGTCTGTTACTATCAATGGGTGCACAGAATAAATAGACTAGTCATACAGTAGACCACACAGACACACACATAAAAAAGCCAAGTCTGTTACCATCAATGGGTGCACAGAATAAATAGACTAGTCACACAGTAGACCACACAGACAAAAAGCAGAGTCTGTTACAATCAATGGGTGCACAGAATAAATAGACTAGTCATACAGTAGACCAAACAGACAAGAAGCAGAGTCTGTTACCATCAATGGGTGCACAGAATAAATAGACTAGTCACACAGTAGACCACACAGACAAAAAGCAGAGTCTGTTACCATCAATGGGTGCACAGAATAAATAGACTAGTCACACAGTAGACCACACAGACAAGAAGCAGAGTCTGTTACCATCAATGGGTGCACAGAATAAATAGACTAGTCGAACAGTAGACCACACAGACAAGAAGCCAAGTCTGTTACTATCAATGGGTGCACAGAATAAATAGACTAGTCGAACAGTAGACCACACAGACAAGAAGCAGAGTCTGTTACCATCAATGGGTGCACAGAATAAATAGACTAGTCGAACAGTAGACCACACAAACACACACGAAGCAGCCGAGTCTGTTACCATCAATGGGTGCACAGAATGAGGAGACATGCTCCATCACCCAGTGGCTGAAGTCATCTTGCTGCCTTGTTTGAAAGAGCTTCTGTACAGTCTCCTGGGAAACATACAAGAGAATGTTGTCTGATGGTGTGGATGGAGCAGGCATACAGAGTTTGGTGGTGTGGATAGAGCAGGCATACAGAGTTTGGTGGTGTGGATAGAGCAGGCATACATAGTTTGGTGGTGTGAATAGAGCAGGCATACATAGTTTGGTGGTGTGGATAGAGCAGGCATACAGAGTTTGGTGGTGTGGATGGAGCAGGCATACAGAGTTTGGTGGTGTGGATAGAGCAGGCATACAGAGTTTGGTGGTGTGGATAGAGCAGGCATACATAGTTTGGTGGTGTGAATAGAGCAGGCATACATAGTTTGGTGGTGTGGATAGAGCAGGCATACAGAGTTTGGTGGTGTGGATAGAGCAGGCATACAGAGTTTGGTGGTGTGGATAGAGCAGGCATACAGAGTTTGGTGGTGTGGATAGAGCAGGCATACAGAGTTTGGTGGTGTGGATAGAGCAGGCATACAGAGTTTGGTGGTGTGGATAGAGCAGGCATACAGAGTTTGGTGGTGTGGATAGAGCAGGCATACATAGTTTGGTGGTGCGGATAGAGCAGGCATACAGAGTTTGGTGGTGCGGATAGAGCAGGCATACAGAGTTTGGTGGTGTGGATAGAGCAGGCATACAGAGTTTGGTGGTGTGGATAGAGCAGGCATACATAGTTTGGTGGTGCAGATGGAGCAGGCATACAGAGTTTGGTGGTGTGGATAGAGCAGGCATACAGAGTTTGGTGGTGTGGATAGATCAGGCATACAGAGTTTGGTGGTGTGGATAGAGCAGGCATACAGAGTTTGGTGGTGTGGATAGAGCAGGCATACAGAGTTTGGTGGTGTGGATAGAGCAGGCATACAGAGTTTGGTGGTGTGGATAGAGCAGGCATACAGAGTTTGGTGGTGTGGATAGAGCAGGCATACATAGTTTGGTGCTGTGGATAGAGCAGGCATACAGAGTTTAGTGGTGTGGATAGAGCAGGCATACAGAGTTTGGTGGTGTGGATAGAGCAGGCATACAGAGTTTGGTGGTGTGGATAGAGCAGGCATACAGAGTTTGGTGGTGTGGATAGAGCAGGCATACAGAGTTTGGTAACAAAAATGTGTGATGAAGACAGCCTAAAGAGGCAAATCTACAGAAGAGATTAACCTTTTAACCCCAGAAAATCCTATAATCCCTCGAATTTCTGAAACATCATTTAGCAACATTTATTATACATAGTTGCGTATCCTTTACAGGATGTTTTAGAACCAACCCCAACAGCCCCTGTGAGGTTTTTCTAGGCAAATTTATGTCCAGTAGCTATGCCATTGCTTTCTGGACGATCGGCTTTCTTGATACCACTGTCGAAACCAACGCAAGGCGCATGGCCCGCAGCTGGAATTGAACCCGACATTACGAAGCATTCGCATTGACTTAGCCACAGAGCCGACATATATATATATATATATATATATATCAAAAAGAAGGGAAGAATATTTAATCAACAAACATGAACAGAGGGGAGAATTTAACAGATTTTGCTCACCATAAAAAATATACAAGGTGACTAAATCAATGTTATTTTTTAAAAAACAGAAGCAATTGTTTTCCACAATAAACAAACACTTTAACCCCTACCCCATTCTCCAACCACAAAATAAATACAATTTCTCAGTAAATATAATCACATCCAGGGTCTCCTAAACATTGTGCAGGCACAAACACAACCAATGCCATTAATTAGGCTTCTTCGGGACAAGTCACTGAAGGTGTGCAGTTCTGAGGCACTTTTGGGGATTTGTAATAGGTGATGGTGCCAGATAATCTGCATTATGGTGTGAAAAAGTTAAACAGAATTAATTGTTGTACTGTTCGTGGAAGAGAGTTTAAACATAAACACAAATGGTTAGGCAAACAGATTGGTGTATGGTTAGGTATTGCCAAGGACAGACACACACACACATGCAGACTAATAACAGCATTACCTCTTCCTTCTTCTGTTTAGCACCCGCCACTTTAGTTTTGACAGACTTGTCGCTGTTTTTCTTCCCCTGTGGTGTCTGGTTCTTCAGGGCCGGGAACTCTCCACTACAAGAAGGCAGAAAAAAGGGCACATGCTTGTTGCCAGATGGCATTTGCTGCTGAACAACTCAATGACAATACCCTAACAGATCTAAATAATAGGGAACTCATTTTTCAACAACAAAAATTTCCCCCATGGTTTTTTGGGGAGAAGGGGGGATGTCTTTTTCAGATAGTACAATCTACTTTTATCTATATAAACAAAATTCTACATTTATTGAAACAGTTATGTCATCTTCGCTCCCGAACATCATAATAACTTTTCAAATATTGAATTCCGGCTTGATTTCATGTTTCTTGTACAGCAACTGGTCCAAGTCTCTCCTTCTAGCTGACAATAATAACTAGTGCTTATTTTTGGGGGCGGGTAACAAACAAACAAACAAAGGAAAAGACCCCTTTTTTAAACTTCAGGTGTAATGGGCGTGTAGGGCCAGACCCATATTTTACAGACTGGCACTCTGTAAAAGATGTGATCAACATCACACTGGCTGCTTTTTACTTCAAATAATTTTACCTGGTGAGCTAGTCAACCAAACAACTTACCAGCCAATCAACCAGCCACTAACCGACCAATCAAATGCTGACATCCAAAAAACTAACCAGCCAATCAACCAGCCACTAACCGACCAATCAAATGCTGACATCCAAAAAACTAACCAGCCAATCAACCAGCCACTAACCGACCAATCAAATGCTGACATCCAAAAAACTAACCAGCCATTCAACCACTCACTAACCGACCAATCAAATGCTGACATCCAAATAACCAACCAGCCAATAAGTTGTCAGTTTACAAAAAATTAGTTGCGTATCCTTTACAGGATGTTGCAGAACCAACCCCAGCATTTTTTCCGCTGTAGTGGTTTTTTCTAGGCAAATTTACGTCCAGCAGTTTGCTTTCTGGACAGTCAACTTCTCGATACCACTGGTAAAACCGGTGCAAGGAACGAAGCTGGGATCGAACCCAGCACCCAGGCATTATGAACCACGTGCGCAACGCCTAGGCCACAGATGCCGATAATCAAGCTGTCAACCAATCAAATGCTCACTGACATCTACAAAGAAAGCAGGATAAATAAGCTACTCACTAATAAATTCTCTCCAGAGCTATAAAAGCCATTACCTCTCTTTAACTGCAGATTTCCTGGATGGCTGATTGGACACCTGGTCCCAGATGGCAGTCGAGGTGTTTGTGTAGCTGCTGTTCCAGACGGACTGACCACTCCAGGTTCCTCCAGATGTGGTCCCAGTCCATGTGGAGGCACTGGCCAGGGAAAGCTATCACACAACAGGGAAAGCTATCACACAACAGGGAAAGCTATCACACAACAGGGAAAGGCAGAATCTGGTTTATCCTCTGTAAGGAGAAGGTGAAGGAGGATAAGAAAAAAGAGGAAGATGATGGAGGATGAGAAGAACAAGAACAAGAACAAGAAGAAGCAGACAGAGGAAGATAAGAAAAAAGGAGAAGAAGCAGCAGAAGAGGTTAAGTTATCTTGCCAAGAAAATAGATGCAGTGCATGGTTTAGATATAAATATTCAAAAACTGATATTTTCTTTTTTACTTAAAGAGTCCCCTAAGACATTCTTTAACAATACGGTAGGCAACAAGTGAAAACACCAACAAGGTAGACAACAAGAGAAAACAACAACAATGTAGTCAACAAGTGAAAACATGAAACAGATAAGACAACAAGGGAAAACAACAAGGCAGACAACAAGGGAAAACAACAAGGTAGGCAACAACTGAAAACAACAACAAGGCAGACAACAAGAGAAAACAATAAGAAGGGAGGCAACAAGAGAAAACAACCAGAAGGTAGGCAACAAGAGAAAACAACCAGAAGGGAGGCAGCAAAGTCTGTGATGAAACGGTTGCTTACCGCCACCTTGGCCTGGTAGGTCTGGGTGCTGGGCTTTTCCTTCTGCGACTTGTTGGCGCTCTCCTGCTCCTGCAGCTGAATGTCCAGCAACGAGACCCCTTTGGCGGGACCCCCTTGAGACCTGCAGGGTAAACAAGCAAGGGATCATGGCATCTGTGCTCTTATCTTGGTAATAATAATTCTTCTTATTTACTGACACAAAAATCAACATTATTGCAAAATATCAATATATTTTTTTAATGTAGATTTGAATCCAAAACCTTCGGGCCAGCATGCAAGCATCGGCCAATGGGCTACTGTGATTCCCCAAAGATCAAAAGTAACTAACAGATTATAGTAATAATGAGGATTACCAGATACTGATATCAAGCAAGACTGACTAGGTGATGAGCTCAAGGGCATACAATCAAGCAAGACAGACTATCTGATGAGCTCAAGGACATACAATCATGCAAGACTGACTATGTGATGAGTTCAAGGGCATACAATCAAGCAAGACTGACTCAGTGATGAGTTCAAGGGCATACAATCAAGCAAGACTGACTATGTGATGAGCTCAATGGCATACAATCAAGCAAGACTGACTATGTGATGAGTTCAAGGGCATACAATCAAGCAAGACTGACTCAGTGATGAGTTCAAGGACATACAATCATGCAAGACTGACTAGGTGATGAGCTCAAGGGCATACAATCAAGCAAGACTGACTATGTGATGAGCTCAAGGACATACAATCAAGCAAGACTGACTATGTGATGAGTTCAAGGGCATACAATCAAGCAAGACTGACTCAGTGATGAGTTCAAGGGCATACAATCAAGCAAGACTGACTCAGTGATGAGCTCAATGGCATACAATCAAGCAAGACTGACTCAGTGATGAGTTCAAGGGCATACAATCAAGCAAGACTGACTCAGTGATGAGTTCAAGGGCATACAATCAAGCAAGACTGACTCAGTGATGAGTTCAAGGGCATACAATCAAGCAAGACTGACTCAGTGATGAGTTCAAGGGCATACAATCATGCAAGACTGACTATGTGATGAGCTCAAGGGCACACAATCAAGCAAGACTGACTCAGTGATGAGTTCAAGGGCACACAATCAAGCAAGACTGACTAGGTGATGAGTTCAAGGGCACACAATCAAGCAAGACTGACTAGGTGATGAGTTCAAGGGCACACAATCAAGCAAGACTGACTAGGTGATGAGTTCAAGGGCATACAATCAAGCAAGACTGACTAGGTGATGAGCTCAAGGGCATACAATCAAGCAAGACTGACTAGGTGATGAGTTCAAGGGCACACAATCAAGCAAGACTGACTAGGTGATGAGCTCAAGGGCACACAATCAAGCAAGACTGACTAGGTGATGAGTTCAAGGGCACACAATCAAGCAAGACTGACTAGGTGATGAGTTCAAGGGCATACAATCAAGCAAGACTGACTAGGTGATGAGTTCAAGGGCACACAATCAAGCAAGACTGACTAGGTGATGAGTTCAAGGGCACACAATCAAGCAAGACTGACTAGGTGATGAGTTCAAGGGCATACAATCAAGCAAGACTGACTAGGTGATGAGTTCAAGGGCATACAATCAAGCAAGACTGACTAGGTGATGAGTTCAAGGGCATACAATCAAGCAAGACTGACTAGGTGATGAGTTCAAGGGCACACAATCAAGCAAGACTGACTATGGCATTGTTTGGGCGCTGTCGGCCTTTCAGGATGGACCTAAGACATCACCTGCTGCCCCAGTCCATCAAATGTCCAAAGTTAAGGTTTCAAGAGTATCTCCAAGAAGGTCCACATGGAAGTATCACATTGATATCTATATATATAATCTTGTATCTTATATATATCATCACTTACATGTGGGTGGCCCAAGACTTCTGTAGCTGCTGCTGTTGATTCTTTAGGTAAACCTGCTCCTGCAGTCTCTGCATGTGTTGCAGCTGCAGGGACGGTCAGAAACAGAGGGCACATGTGAGCATGGAGTATTTTTGACAGGGTGTTTAGTCATGACTTGTCACATGAGTGGATGGATGGATATGGTGTTGTGGTCATCAGTCAGGTGTGTCAATGGACATGTTGATGTGGCCATCAGTCAGGCGTGTCAATGGACATGTTGTTGTGGTCATCAGTCAGGTGTGTCAATGGACATGGTGTTGTGGTCATCAGTCAGGCGTGTCAATGGACATGTTGTTGTGGTCATCAGTCAGGTGTGTCAATGGACATGGTGTTGTGGTCATCAGTCAGGTGTGTCAATGAACATGTTGTTGTGGCCATCAGGCAGGTGTGTCAATGGACATGTTGTTGTGGTCATCAGTCAGGCGTGTCAATGGACATGTTGTTGTGGTCATCAGTCAGGTGTGTCAATGAACATGATGTTGTGGTCATCAGTCAGGTGTGTCAATGAACATGTTGTTGTGGTCATCAGTCAGGTGTGTCAATGAACATGTTGTTGTGGTCATCAGTCAGGTGTGTCAATGGACATGGTGTTGTGGTCATCAGTCAGGTGTGTCAATGGACATGATGTTGTGGTCATCAGTCAGGTGTGTCAATGGACATGATGTTGTGGTCATCAGTCAGGTGTGTCAATGAACTGAGTAACAGGAACGATTTAGAGCACGAGTGAGTTAGAGTTAGCCTTTAACTCTCTCACAGGAGAATGGTATCATCTGTATAAGTGAGGACACTCCATCTGCACAATACCTCTCTCTCCCGCTCCTCCTCCTTTCTGGCCTCCTCCTCCTGGATGTCGGTCAGAGACCTGGACTGGGTAGGAGACCCCTGGGTATTCTGCTGCTGAGCCGCCCAGTTGCTGGTTGCAGGCAACTGAAAATACAGCAACAGCATATCTGAATAATTAAAGGTTTAAGATTAACATCATCTATTTGACTTGACTTGACTCGGAGAAACAAAAACCGTGATCTCATTATTATTCTTCTTCGCATTCAATGGCTGTAAACTCCGGGAAAAAGTTCCGGTTGTTTGCCCCCTCTGGACTTAAATCATGTTCCAGAATTTGAGTATAGTATACACAACTGTTTAACAGATCTGACTTATTTGTCTGCAGACTCTTGGTTCCTTGCCTTTCAGCTAAATGCACTCCGACTTGAAGGAAGCCCCCATTAGTAGACGATTACAACACGGTTTTCAGGGAGGCAGTGGGTCTATTCTTGTTTACCCCACAAAGGGACCTAGGAACCCACATAGGGATGATCTCATTCGAAGCTTTGGTTAAAACTGATGTGTTGTCTTTTAGGCTAGACAAATGGTTAAGATCATTATGCTCTCATGCTGCAGATTAAAGTTCGAATACTCAGTAAGGTGACAGATTTTTTTCTGCCAGAGGTTAAAAGAAAAACCCCCACATATTTCATGGCGACTACACTAGCCACAGTATAGCCATTTGAGCAAATGAGGTCGGGTAGCTCCATGGGAAATCCTGCCGTCTGCACGTGATGTTGTTCTAGTTGTTGCCACCTCTCAGTCTGTCCAGACGACGGTGATGTATTGTGCCATACGCAGACATGGGGTTTACAGGTGGCGTCAAGACATGAGCTTCTGAGACAAACTGAGGCCTGGGTTGAAGTTACTCCTCTCCGAAGTACAAAGCCTGGGCAGTATTGTGGAGGCCATATTTTGCCTAACTTGCCTTGTTTCTTTTTCTTTTCTCTACTTCTCACGACATCAGGACAGGAAGAAATCTCTGGAACGGGCCCTTCAGTTCGCTTCGTTCAAAGTACTTTTTAGTGTATCCTATATTTCTGCGGTCCATCTTCTGTGTGGTCAACCTCTGGCTCTGTTACTGTTAATATTGCTCTCTGTGGTGCCCTGTCTCCAAAGAAAAGATAACATCAGTATATTTGGAACAAAGCTCGCTGAAGAAGCTGCCGCATTAGAAGAGCAGTGCTATGTGTTTTCCTGTCGAAGCTTTTCTCCTAGACCAACTGCCAAAAGTGTTTGTTAGGCTTTCCCATGTTCTAAGTAACGACAAATAAGCTAAAGTAACCATCGCCTTCCTCACTGCTTTTCATTACCAGAAAATTCTGGAAACTGGTCTGCCAGGTTTAATAAATCTCAGACCAAAACCCATATGTATGTCTGTCAGTGTTTATTTCCTCTGCAATGGTTGAAAAATTCATATAACAAAAACCACATACCTGAATATTTGCCAGTTGGTCTCCTTTTCTTACGTAAAAAATTATATAAATCCTTACGTCCTTTTTAGGACGTAAGTTTTTGTTATTTGAAGCCCCACTCTGGCTTTTGCCAGGGGCCGTAATATAGGCAGGTCATAAATATGGCCAATTGTCTGAATGCGGTTTCTGGGACCTCTCCACGGTGATCCTCCCCCACATGGTGGCACTTTGTGTCATCTGGTGTTTATCGCTTGTGTGATGTCCTGGTGGGGTAGAAAGTCAGTCAGTCAGTCTTTTCTTTCTCCTATAGTTACAACATTCTCAAATCAAAAACCACTGTACCCCCTGTTTACCAATTGGTCTACCTTTAGTTTAGAACAAAATTTCAGACCAAAAACAACGTACCTGGATGTTTGCCAGCTGGTCTCTCTGTGCTTGCTGCAGACGTCTCTGAGCTTCTAGCTGTCTCTGCAAATCTTGCTGTCATATGAGAAAACATAGCAACAGTTACAGCCTGTCTACATAACATGCTGACATCAAACCACACTGAGAGACTGAGTGAGGGAGGAAGAGACAAAGTGAGGGAGGGCGAGTCAAACAGAAAGTGAGATACTGAGGAAGGCATAAACACAGTGAGATACAGATAGTCAGGGAGAGAAGGAAAAGACCCCCAAAAAAGAGAGAGGCAGAAGTAGGGAGAGAGACAAACAGACAGGGAGAGAGAGAAACAGACAAAGGGATACTGCAAGGGAGAGAGAGAGAAACAAAGATATAGAGGAACACAGAGAGAGGGAGAGAGGTAACAAGAAAAAGATACAGAATAAGAGAAAGAGAGAGGCAAACAGACGCAGAGACATAGAGAGGTAGGAAAGGCAAAGAGACACAGAGATATATAGAGAGAGACACAGATATAGAGAGGTATGGACAGAGGGACAGACAGATATAGAAAGAGATTGGTAAACAGCCCATGAGAAGTAAAGAGAAGGAGAGAGAGGGGGGGGAGGGAGAGAGAGAGGGAGGGAGAGGGAGAGGGAGAGAGAGTGAGAGAGATAGAGCAGTAAACAGACTGTGAGAAGAGGAGAGAGAGAGAGAGAGAACGGTAAACAGACCATGAGAAGTAAAGAGAAGGAGAGAAAAAGAGCAAACGGTCAGAGAGATGAGAGATGAGAGAGAGAGAGAGGGGGGGGAGGGGGGGGCAGATACAGACAGGAAGTTAGGCACACAGACAGATACAAAAGTAGGATGCAAACAGACACAAGAATTGGAGGAAGGGATAGAGGAAAACAGTTAGAGACACAGAGAGGAACACTGTTAGAGAGATAAAGGCATACAAAGATACATAGACAGACAGACAGAAAGCAAGGCAGCAAAACTACGTTAATTATAATCAATTTGTCTGTCCGCAGATGTAGTATTGCAGCAACAACAAATAATCAAAGAAATAAAACTTCTATCAAAGAAAACATTAAAGAAGATACTGTCTGACTTTGTGCTGAAATAATTCCTTATCCCCAAGCACAGCCGAATTTCTCTGTTTACCAGCACATGGGGATTTTGCATTATGGTTGGAAAGATGTGAGGAGGTAGCTTTACAGTAAAAACCAGGCTTTTCTTCCTTGATGCAAGGATAATGAATGTCCAACATATAGGTCTTATGAACAGTATTTCCATTTCTGATTTAATTCAACTTTTATTTCTGGGTTACTGCATGCAAATTTCAAGAACTTCGGTGCCTCTTTTAATTATTCCAGTTCTTTTGAAGACCTTGCAAGGGAAAGCTGCTGTTAAAGCGTTTTCCAAGTTTCAAGGGTGGCTATGAGTTCTGAGCTTAGCTGTGATATTTGTGCTTCTTGACTTCCACATATCTGACTTCTTTTGGCATTTATTTTCTTGTTTGGCCTTTCTCAATACACACCATTTTGCTGGCACTAGGATAAAGTCACATTAGTGATTAATCACTGTCTCAGGAGAACTGCATTTTAAAATTGAGATCACTCTGAAAAATCACATTGTGGCTAATGAACAGTGTGTAGCTGTATAAAATGTTATGCTTTATTTTGATCTATTTGGAGTAGGAATTCACATATGTGCCAATGGCACATTTCAAAGTGCTAAAAAACAGCCCCGAAAATACTTAGATAAAAATCATCACAATTTTATCCAGGAGATTTTAGCGGAGTGCTAACAAAATGATACTTATCTATGCCAGATCGAGGCTTTGCCTTGAACAATCCTACATTTCACTATCTAAACATTCACCTGTCTTTTCTGGACTTCCAACCTCTCCCTCTCGGCAGCCTCTTTCTGAACTCGCTCTTCCTCCTCCTTCTGTAGTCGCAGGGCTTCCAGCTGCTGCCGCTGCCACTCCTGCTGTTGTTGTAGCTCCTCCTCCTTCTTCCGCCTGAATGTAAATAACATCAACACAGCATTATGGTAACTTCACGTAACAAAAAGCATTGTATTAACATAAACAATAAGACAGCGTTATGTTATACAATATAAACAAAGCAATATATTAACTGAACACAGAATTATGTTAGCATTATGTAACATGCAGCATTGTTACCATTATGTAAGATACAGTATTGTGTTAACATAATGTAACATGCTGCATTATGTAATAGAGAGGTAGGCTCTATTATTATACAGCATGCAACATACAGCATTATGTTAACAGTATGTTACAGTACTGAATTTACATTATGTTACAAACAACATTATGTTAACAATGTGTGGCATACAGCATTATGTAAACATTATTTAACATACAGCATTGTGTTAACATATTTAACACAGTATTGTGTTAACATTGTGCAACATATAACATTGTGTTAACAATGTGTAGTATACCGCATTATGTTAACATAACATAACCCTATGTGCTCCTTCTAATGTGTTGTATAAGTTGATATTCATTTCCTTTTTGATGCAGATTGTCCATCTTCATCATAGTCTTCCCCTTGATTTTTGTCCATTATATTGCAGTGTCGGCTCTGTGACTAAGTTGATGCGAACGCTTCGTAGTGCCGGAATTCCGGGTTCGATCCCAGCTGCAGGCCATGCGCCTTGCGTTGGTTTCGACAGTGGTATCAAGAAAGCCGACCGTCCAGAAAGCAATGGCAAACTACTGGATGTAAATTTGCCTAGAAAACCCACAAAACAGCCAGGGGCTGCTGGGCTTAGTTCTGCAACGTCCTGTAAAGGATATGCAATATTGCAGTATTGACCAGATCCCCAGGTCACTCCGATCTGTATCATTTTCTCTAGACCATAAAGATCTATTGGTGCCTCTGCACGGTTCACTTACTCCCAAAGGGCCTTGACCACATCTAGCTTTTGTGCACAAATTCACCACCCATTTTTGCATAACCAGCCACCCTGTCTGCCTGTCCATTTCCTAACACTCCTGCATGCAAATATAAGGAAACATGACACAGGTATTCTAAATGCCATCAGATCTGAACCAAACTTACCTCGCTTCCGCCTGCTGCTTCTTCTGCTCTTCCTGTTGCCGGCGCTTATCTTCTTCTTTTTTTTTCTTCTCCTCTTGCTTCTTAAGCTCCTGTTCTCTCTTTCTCTCCTCCTCCAACCTCTTCTTCTCTTCCTCTGCTCTCCTCTTTTCCTCAGCCAGTTTTTCCTGCTGCTGTTGGTTAATTTCTTGTTGAATTCTTTCTTCTTCCTGTCTTCTGGCCTCCTCGATTTTCTGATCATATCAAATAAACAATGTCAATGCCATATTTATCAGCTAAAACATAGATTCGACACAACAAACATGGACAAAAAAATAGAAACATTGACACAGAATGGAGAAAGATCGACCCAGAATTGACTAAATAAACATGGACACAGGATTGTGTGCAGGCTTGATACATTTGGGTGAGGAGAGGAGTGGGTCAAAGTGTCTGAGCAAGTTAGGGTTCTAATCACTTTGGAACGTGAGTGCAGGGACTGGCCAGCTGGTGCTGCAGAATCAGTTCAACAAATGATTCGTAACAAATTCCCGCCCAAATGATGCGATTATCTACACAGATGGCTCTGTAAGAGGTGCAGACCATGTTCATGGGGGTTCACAGAAAAAGCAAATGAATGTCACTTAGTGCTGCACATGATATCACAACGCCTACTTTGAGAATGGAGGTGGAGGCAGTTACTGCTGCATTCTGCTGGCTTGAGAATCAGCTGTACACATTTGCCGTGATTGTAACTGATTCACAGAGCATGATGAGAAAAGTAAAGACAGCATGCTCTGGGCAGAGTGGCAAGCATCACTTCAGAGGTCCCAGGTAGTTGAATATTTTCTCCAGGTCATGCCGGTGTGTTGGGAAATGAACAGGCAAACAGACTGGCAAGTTCTGCGTCACTTGGTGGTGAACTGACTTATGACAAGTTAGATGCTGTGAGGGCCCTTTGGGAGCGAGTGAACAGTGCAGAGGCGCAGAAAGATCCTTACAGTCTGAGGAGAATTGCGCTGCGGGGAGTTACCAGGGGATCTGGCCGACACTTAACACTCAAGGAAAGGGTGAAATGAATATACAATCAGACAGTTACTGCTACTCTCAGAACTGGAACTTTTCACTTGCTGCTGAAGATGGAGCATTTATGGAGGTGTCCAAAGTGCTGTGATGTTGATTCTTAATTCAACATTCAACAGACACAGGAAGAGTTCTTATAAATACAGACACTACAAATGTGGACCAAAAAAGCAGAGACACAGAAAGAACTATAAAGACTGTCACTGCATGGGCTCAACAAAGACAGAATTGACTACACAAATATGGACTCAGATCTGACTCAATAAACACGCATTTGATCATAAATTATTCCTCCCAATGACGCTTAATAGAAGAAGTGGTTTATGATGACGATGATGATGAACACGTACAAAGAATGATGTCCACAAATACGGACTTGTCAGACATGACTAAAAAACATTCCACAACATTCTTCACAAAAAGTTAGTGTTATATTTCTTTGCTGGTTTAAAAGTGGATACAATAATCACATACACGCACATTTCGGGGATCTCTGTAGCGAAGTGGTCTAGCTGTTGCCACTTGCTCTGAAGGTCATGGGTTCGTTTTACTGCAGCGCTGTTCGGTTCACGAGTGCAATTTTTAGGCAGACTCCTGGGAGCTATAGAGTTTGTGCTTTGTGCAAAGTTCTTGGCAGTCAGCTGGCGTTCTACTGAGAGAAACCGAGCCAAAAGTGATAACACTCGGTGCTATAAGTCGATCCTCTCGACTTTAAACTTTAAGACACACATACATCATGATCATTGTCTGTTGTGCCATTACAGTGTATTCTGCGCAATCTCTTCGACATTATGGACATAATCCAGTCTAGCACCTTTGGCCTCTCATGTAAACATTCATTTTAGGGTTTCGTTTGGATCCTGGTCATTATTTTTCAGTCAAAGTGTGTATAATTGGGAAATGACTTCCACAGAGCAGCTTTCATCTGCAACCATCACAAATGCACTCTGTGCAACACACACACACACAATTACATGAAAGTATCACGATAGACGCTGAGAACACAACACTTACTAGCAACTCTATCTGCTTCTGTCTCTCCAGCTCCTCTAACTCTCTCCTCATCTGTGCCTTCTGTCGTTCCAACTCCTCCTGTTGCCTCCTGATCTCTTCTTGCTTCTTCTCCAGCTCCTCCTGGCGTAGCCTCTCTTCCTCCTTTAACTTCTCCTCCTTCTTTTCCTGAGGAACATTCACAAGATAGAACAGCCATTAACTCTCCATAGAAGAAAGTCAGTAAGGTATCTCTTCATTCCAGGGTAGAGGAGAAAAGACATTAAGGTACCTTTTCATCCCAGGGTAGAAGAGAAAAGACAGTAAGATATCTCTTCATCCTAGGGTAGAGGAGAAAACACAGTAAGGTACCTCTACATCCCAGGGTAGAGGAGAAAAGACAGTAAGGTATCTCTTCATCCCAGGGTAGAGGAAAAAAACAGTAAGGTACCTCTACAACAATGATCTTCGACATTCAAACATCGACACAGATGACAAATAACTTACTCTTTTGGCTTTCTCCAACTGAGCCAGGTAGGCTGGGGTCAGTGTTCCATTAGCAGCATCGATATCCCACAGTGAGGCAGGTGGCGCCACCTGCTGGGCGGCTGACTGAGACCACACACCTAATGATCAGAGGAAAACATAATCATCACACTGGGCAGGCAAATATCACTGCTTGTTCAAAATGTCATGAAAAAATACATCAAAGAAGAACTAAGCTTCACCAAACAAATTTCAATTTAAAAAAAAAACACATTTAGTCAGCTACAACAAACTGAACGCTGCAGCTTGAATGGTACAAACAGAGAATAACACAATTTAAAAGAAAACAAGAATATAACTGACTGACCGACTTTCTACCCCACCAGGACATCACACAAGCGATAAACACCCGATGACACAATGTGCCACCATGTGGATGAGGATCACCGTGAAGAGGTCCCAGAAACCGCGTTCAGCCTTTAGGCCATATTTATGACCAGGCTATATTGTAGCCCCTGGCAAGAGCCAGAGTAGGGCTTCAAATAACGAAAAATTTCATCCTAAAAAGGACAGAAAGTAATTAGTATAGGACACAACAAGAATATATATAATCATTTATTTTTATAGTGAGGTCTGTCCCAAAATCTCTGTGTTATGCCTAAACAGTACACAAACATAAAAGGGAAGGCTAACATCATTGCATGAATGCAGGAGAAAGATTTTCATAAAGACAAAGCAACAGTGTCATGGCCCTGTGTGGCTATGAGATAATGGGGTATGATGATGGTGAACAGTGGACTAGTACTCTGCTACTGCGTGTTCAACAGCTTACAGAGACTTCACCCAGATTGGCCTGATGGATTAACTAATCACTCCCGGATCCAGGTCATGAGGTTCTCAGGGACCAGACAGTGACCTGGGACTGGACAAAGGTGATGGAAATGGTTTTTCTGGAAGTTTGGACAGGGATTTATCGACCGACAAGAGACGCTAAAACTGTTGACTGCTAGTTTTCTAGCAACAGTTAGAATCGTATATCTGTGTTAGACTATTTCATTAGTGATTATATTGAGGTTGAAGGTGTTCTAGTTGCAGTATGTAGTTTAGTATCTTGTAATAGCTTTACTGTGTTTACTGATAGCTGTGTAAATGTTCATAGCAAATGATACTTAATCGTGACTTAACAAGGTGGCTTTCACAGAGTTGACAGTACAGAAAAATAATATATTGATGTCATGTGAATCAGATCAGTGACGAGTCTGAGCACTTGACCCACAGCTGGACGAGAGGTTGCAGCAGTAGCAGTGCCAGTTACTCAAGCATAGGAAACAGGAAAAAGCTTGTATCAGAGTCTACTGGTTCAGACCCTGGTCACAGCCGTAAGGCCGGTATGATACTGTAGGGGCAGGTAGATGACGGGGTAGATAATGCGAGCCACCTTCTGTGGAGCCACCTTCTCTGGGGCCACCTTCTGTGGGGCCACCTTCTCTGGGGCCACCTTCTGTGGGGCCACCTTCTGTGGGGCCACCTTCTGTGGGGCCACCTTCTGGCCCCGGCCACCTTCTCTGGGGCCACCTTCTGTGGGGCCACCTTCTCTGGGGCCACCTTCTGTGGGGCCACCTTCTGTGGGGCCACCTTCTCTAGGGCTACCTTCTGGCCCCGGCCACCTTCTCTGGGGCCACCTTCTGTGGGGCCACCTTCTGTGGGGCCACCTTCTGTGGGGCCACCTTCTGTGGGGCCACCTTCTGTGGGGCCACCTTCTGTGGGGCCACCTTCTGTGGGGCCACCTTCTCTGGAGCCACCTTCTGTGGGGCCACCTTTGCCTCATTGCTTTTGTAGTTGCATTAAAGCTGATATAGACTCAAGAGCATTTGGGTTTAATTCTGTTTAGACAGACACATTGTCATGAAGTTCGCATAAGGAGCCACGTCACCTGTAAGGCAGTACTAAAGCTCTACGACAAAGTGGGTGCTCGTCAGGGATCTGAATATTTAGGTCAGTCCAAGATTACTCATCTCATCTCAATCACTTTTACCTTGCATTATCGAGGTGAAGTAAAATTTATGAGAAAGTTCGCATTTGCGCGCTTCATAAATGGGGATTCCCAGGGACTCTGTTATTCCATCTGTCCATGATTTGAATGGTCAGCCTCTTCTTTGCTTCCCGCCTGGTCTGTTCATCATTGCTTGCCGTGGTATACTGTTCGCTGACATCCGCGTTTTATGGCCGAAGAATTTCACCAGTTATCTTCTAAGAAAATCCAGAGCTGCCGCTCCCTCCATTCTCTCGGATTTTATCATTCCTGATCTAATCTCTAATTGTTATATTAAGACCCCTTTATAGAACTCTCATTTGGGTTGTAATTTTTCTGTTCTCTTTTTCTGTCAGGCGAGGTCTGGCAGTGGCAGCACAGGGTTGGCATGAAACTGGGTCATAGAGTGCTCTTTTGGTTTCTACTGACACGTTTGTTTTTTAGTACTGATGCCATTTGCATAAGGAGTTGGTTTGCTCTGTTACCGATGATATAATTGTTTCCTAAGTAACTGAAGCTTTTGGATTGCTCTTCTGTTTTGGAAAATGTTCACATTTTTTTAATAGCAATAACCATGCAGGCAACTGGAACTGACAGTCAAATCAAATGACAGGCAACTCAACACTCAATAAGCAACACAACAGACTGACAGGTAGACAGGCAAATCAACAGACTGGCAACGCAACAGGCAACACAACAGACAGACAACTCAACAAACAAGACTGACTCACCTGGTATCAGATACTGCTGCAGCGATGCCCAGGCCGAACTCTCCTCCGCAGGTTTCTCAGTCATGGCTGTGTTGTTGTTGGTGGTTAATGATGCTGCTGTTACTGTGCTGTTGATGGACGACGGGGGCTGTGAGAATATTCCTGCGGGCACTTCAACTGTGACCCCGCTGTAATCAACAAGTCAGCGGTGAGTAACAGGAAAGCAAAGAAACCTTTTATAAGGAGAACATACAGATCTATAAATATCTTACAGTCATTAGGGAGGAAAAAGGAGCTTTTGAACTACTTCTTTGTGTTCACAAGCTGTAAACTCTAGCGGAACTGAAATGCTACAGAAAGATTTTCGGAATATCATGGACCAAGAAAAAAAGAAATAATGATGTTCCAAAAGAATGGCTAGTAAAAAAGCAAGCATTTTATATCAGAAACTAAAATATTTTGGCCATATCAAGCGGCGAACTGGAAAGAACCAACATGCTTTGTGTTGCTGCAGATTCAGAAAATGGCGAGTGTCCTGTGTCTGTTCGCCACAGAACTGGTAGTGCCTTCTGCGACATTGCCTGTGCAACAGCCAATCTGTTGTAAGTGCTGCTTCTATCAAAGTCCACCTGAAATTTGTGTGCACAAACTAGTCTTTATGTTGGCACTTCTGATGGTTGCCTTATGCATTAAATGCCTGTATGATAGTGACTGGGGGTGTTGGCTTATACACAGAGTGTATTTAAAATATTTATTTCTAAATGTAGACCTAAAAAAAACAGAGGTTGTCTCTTACATGGTAGTGTCTTATACATGAACAAATATGTCATCTAGGCTAACATCACATGAAACCACTCACGGTGAAGCCACTTTTTGCTGCTCCTGCTGTTGCTGAAGCACCAGCTGCTGTTGCTGCTGTAACTGCTGGAAGTGCTGCATGAAAACAGGGTTGGTCTGTGCCATCATCTGCATGGAAAGGTGCTGCTGCTGTTCTGGGGAGAGTGACTTGAAGCTGTCCTGTTCTTGCATCTGATGGAGAGTCTGTATTTGCATCTGCCTGTTAGGGACAAAACAAGGGATGAGCATCATCTAGTAGGCAACTGTCGGGTTCCCAGATTAGGGCCACACAACAAGGGATGAGCATCATCTAGTAGGCAACCGTCAGTCCCCAGGTTATGGATAAAACAAGGGATGAGCATCATCTAGTAGGCAACTGTCGGGTTCCCAGATTAGGGCCACACAACAAGGGATGAGCATCATCAAGTAGGCATCCATCAGTTCCCAGGTTAGGGCCACACAACAAGGGATGAGCATCATCAAGTAGGCAACCATCAGTCCCCAGGTTAGGGCCACACAAGGGATGAGCATCATCAAGTAGGCAACCATCAGTCCCCAGGTTAGGGCCACACAAGGGATGAGCATCATCAAGTAGGCAACCATCAGTTCCCAGGTTAGGGCCACACAAGGGATGAGCATCATCAAGTAGGCAACCATCAGTCCCCAGGTTAGGGCCACACAAGGGATGAGCATCATCAAGTAGGCAACCATCAGTCCCCAGGTTAGGGCCACACAAGGGATGAGCATCATCAAGTAGGCAACCATCAGTCCCCAGGTTAGGGCCACACAAGGGATGAGCATCATCAAGTAGGCAACCATCAGTCCCCAGGTTAGGGCCACACAACAAGGGATGAGCATCATCAAGTAGGCAACCATCAGTCCCCAGGTTAGGGCCACACAACAAGGGATGAGCATCATCAAGTAGGCAACCATCAGTTCCCAGGTTAGGGCCACACAACAAGGGATGAGCATCATCAAGTAGGCAACCGTCAGTCCCCAGGTTAGGGCCACACAACAAGGGATGAGCATCATCAAGTAGGCATCCATCAGTTCCCAGGTTAGGGCCACACAACAAGGGATGAGCATCATCAAGTAGGCAACCATCAGTTCCCAGGTTAGGGCCACACAAGGGATGAGCATCATCAAGTAGGCAACCATCAGTCCCCAGGTTAGAGCCACACAACAAGGGATGAGCATCATCAAGTAGGCAACCATCAGTCCCCAGGTTAGGGCCACACAACAAGGGATGAGCATCATCAAGTAGGCAACCATCAGTCCCCAGGTTAGGGCCACACAACAAGGGATGAGCATCATCTAGTAGGCAACTGTCGGGTTCCATGATTAGGGCCACACAACAAGGGATGAGCATCATCAAGTAGGCAACCATCAGTCCCCAGGATAGGGCCACACAACAAGGGATGAGCATCATCTAGTAGGCAACTGTCAGTCCCCAGGTTAGGGCCACACAACAAGGGATGAGCATCATCAAGTAGTCAACCATCAGTCCCCAGGTTAGGGCCACACAACAAGGGATGAGCATCATCTAGTAGGCAACCATCAGTCCCCAGGTTAGGGCCACACAACAAGGGATGAGCATCATCAAGTAGGCAACCATCAGTCCCCAGGTTAGGGCCACACAACAAGGGATGAGCATCATCAAGTAGGCAACCATCAGTCCCCAGGTTAGGGCCACACAACAAGGGATGAGCATCATCAAGTAGGCAACTGTCAGTCCCCAGGTTAGGGCCACACAACAAGGGATGAGCATCATCAAGTAGGCAACCATCAGTCCCCAGCTTAGGGCCACACAACAAGGGATGAGCATCATCAAGTAGGCAACCGTCAGTCCCCAGGTTATGGACATAACAAGGAATGAGCATCATCAAGTAGGCAACCGTCAGTCCCCAGGTAATGAATATAACAAGGAATGAGCATCATCAAGTAGGCAACCGTCAGTCCCCAGGTTATGGACATAACAAGGAATGAGCATCATCAAGTAGGCAACCGTCAGTCCCCAGGTTAGGGCCACACAACAAGGGATGAGCATCATCAAGTAGGCAACCGTCAGTCCCCAGGTTATGGACATAACAAGGAATGAGCATCATCAAGTAGGCAACCGTCAGTCCCCAGGTTAGGGCCACACAACAAGGAATGAGCATCATCAAGTAGGCAACCGTCAGTCCCCAGGTTATGGACATAACAAGGAATGAGCATCATCTAGTAGGCAAGTGTCTGTTCCCAGGTTGGGGCCACACAACAAGGGATGAGCATCATCTAGTAGGCAACCGTCAGTCCCCAGGTTATGGATAAAACAAGGGATGAGCATCATCTAGTAGGCAACTGTCGGGTTCCCAGATTAGGGCCACACAACAAGGGATGAGCATCATCTAGTAGGCAACTGTCAGTTCCCAGGTTATGGACATAACAAGGGATGAGCATCATCTAGTAGGCAACTGTCATTTCTCAGTTGGCAACCTTACCAGACAAGAAAGAATTCTTCTTCTTCTTCTTCAGCTCACTGGCTGTAAACTCAGGCAGAAAGTTCTGGTTGTTTGTCCACCTTTGGACTAGAACCTTATTCCTGAACCTGAGTGTTGCGTTACATCCGTTTAACAGATCTGACCAGTGATCAAGGCAACAAACGTGCAGGTTATCTTGCAGACATTGCGGCTGCTATAGATGCCCCAGTTCTGGACAGGAGCGATGTTATCAATGCTATGCACAGCACACATCACAAATGAAAGAAGACACAGAAAACAGACAGAACAATTAATCAGACAAATGAAAGAACACACAAACACACACGCACACATACACAAAACAGACAAAACAACTAAATAGACTAGTGACAGAAGATAGCAACAACAAAAAACAGTAACACAGACTTACCTCATCAAAAATGTCTGTTTAAGATACTCTTGCTGTAACAACATGTGCTGTAGGATGAGTGGGTCGGGGACAGAAGGCAACCCAGGACCCACCAGTGGGGCTGCCGGGGTCGACGACACAAAGGAAGGGAGGGTCAGGGGTGAGGTTGGTATCACAACAGGCTCAGGGGAAATACTTGTCTGCAACAGATGAGGTTTGATGCACAAATTAATGGATAAATTTGTTTGAAGCACAGGTTAACAGATAAATATCATCACCATAATCAATTTCCACTTCTGTCGTTAAGCGTTGTGGGGAGGAAGAGTCTGCGATCCATTACTTGATTGGACAGTAATGGCTACTGTCATTCCATGTCGCAGAAACTCTTCATTGTCATCAACCCATGTTTTCCTAGGGCAACCTCTTGCTTTCACATCAGATCTTTTCATGCGAAACACCTGCAATGGTAGTTGTTCTGGCTGTATTCTTACTAGGACCAAACCATTTTATCTTCTGCTTCTCAACGAATTTGCTGCATGGTGTTATTCTCACAATGTCTGATATCATTTTTAACTTTGTCTTGGATGGTTAAGTTGGCGGCTTTTCTCAGGTATCTCATTTCACAGGTGTTAATTTTATGCTGGTTAGCCTTTGATAATGTCCAAGTCTGACACTGGTAGCGCAGCATTGGTATGAAAATGCTGTTTATAATCTGTTTTTTTGCGCTCATTCTTACGTTTTTATGTCTAAATAACAATGTTGGTTCATATGTGCACTGGCTCGGTGGCTTCTTGTTTCTATTTCCCGATCTATTCTTCCATCCTCCAAGAATATACTCCCTAAATATTTAAATTCTCTAACTTGCTTCAGACAAGCACAATTCAAACGTGGCAATTCAGAGCCTGGAATAAATTAGAACAATTGACAGTTTGTGGCTACCTGACAAGAGTGGTTAAGTGTGTGGACAGTGGAAAGTCACTTACAATTAATGGAGGCAAAGGTGGCCCAGGCAAAAACGGAACTCTCCCATATCGTTTGATCAGCTCCCCTGTCAAGAGAAAAATAAATCACCATAAGTTTTATACAAATAAAATTGATGAGACATTTCAAGAGAAGAGATGGAACAGAGACATTCTGTGGGGGGAAATTTTAGGCAGGAGTGGTGAAGAAAGATATAAGTGGACAGTTTAAAGAGACAGGTAGGTTGGGTGTTTGATGTGTGTGTGTGTGTGTGTGAATGCGCGTGTAAGTATCCTGTCCGTAGCACACAGCTGGGGAGTATTGTAGAGACCATGTGTTGTCCATGCACCATGATCCCTCTCTCTGCCTGCCTTGTTTACTCCAAAGAAAAGGTAACACTAGTACATGTGAAACAAAGCACACTGCAGAAGCTGCCGGATCAGAAGAGCAGTGCTCCATCTGTCCGCCTGTCGGAACTTCCCTACTAAACCAGCTGCCAGCCACAGCTAAGGGCCTGGTCTGCCCCGCCATAACACAAAGTTTTCAGGTTGCATTTCCTCTTCCTAGGATAAGGCTGGTATCCTCCTAAATGTGCTCCTCCATCCAAAGAGGTTGGCACAATTTGCAATGTCAGGTTTGGTATAGACGGCCAAACATTCACTGTTAACAGACAACAGGTAGTACTGGCTAGTAATATATGATAGCTCGGTCATATTTGACCATTATACACATATATAAAACACCAACTTTATTGAAATAAGAGATGACAGAAAGAATTAGTGGGTCATGTCTGCAGCTTTCTATTCAAAACTAGGGACAAGAAGAAGCAGCAGCAGCTGCTAAAGCAGAAGCAGAATAGGAGGAGTAGAGTAGCAGTACAAAATGAAGCTTTTTTTTTTAAATCTAACACTTTAAGCATGATAATGGAGGTGGAGGCATTCACTGCAGCTCTGGGAAAACCCAGTTACCAGAGGAATTACTGTGTCATTCCCAGTTGGTTCAAAATAGACAATGTGGCACAAGTGGATACCAAACATCAGCAGATTAACATTACATGGACTCATGTTAATATACTGTCTGGGATATGTAATAGAGCGAGCCAATGAAAGAGTGGATTTTCTGGCTACAAAAGTGATAGCTACAGTAACACTCATACTGGACAAAGAAGACATTCGGAAGACCTTTAATGAGTGAATGCTGAGAGAAGACAGGAGATTGGGTAAAATAACAAATGTAAGAATGTAAGAGTGGATGTGGCAGGGACGGGCGTATGAGAGGAAGAGAATGACATGCATATAATCAGTGTGTTATGGCAAGAGTTGACATCTACACACTAGGACATTTGCTATGGTATACCCGGTGTGTTCTGATGTTGATTCTCAAATCAGTAGTCAGTCATCAGAGAAGCAGAAGAGGAGCACAAAGCAAAAAAGAAGCGGTAGCATCAAAAGAAGAATAGCAGGTGGAGATGGAGAGGGCAAATGAGGAGGAAGAGGAAACAAAAGCAGCGGCAGTTGAGGAGGAAGAGGAGGACGATGAAAAGAAGAAGAAGAAGAAAAGAAAAAGAGGAAGAAGAAGAAGAAGAAGAAAAAGAAGAAGAAGAAGAAGAAGAAGAAGAAAAAGAAGAAGAAGAAGAAGAAGAAGATGAAGAAGAAGATGAAGAAGAAGAAGAAGAAGAAAAAGAAGAAGAAAAAGAAGAAGAAAAATAAGAAGAAGAAGAAGAAGAAGAAGAAGAAGAAGAAGAAGAAGAAGAAGAAGAAGAAAAAGAAGAAGAAGAAAAAGAAGAAGAACAAGAAGAAGAAGAAGAAGAAGAAGAAGAACAAGAAGAAGAAGAAGAAGAAGAAGAAGAAGAAGAAGAAGAAGAAGAAGAAAGGATTACCTAGTTGTTTGAATGCGTCATCACAACCTCTCTTTATCAAGAGACTCATGGTGAAAAATCCGGCACTGAACCACTGTGACATCTCCTCGTTGGTGAAGGGACCTGGCGACAGAAGCAAAGGAACTCACAGCTACAATGTACACACATCATCATCCTCAAGTGCCTTGCCAACTGGCATGGGTAAGCATGCCTCTCCTTAACTTCTGATCGCCACCAGCATGTATTAGTTCATATATACAAAACACCAAATTTATTAAAATAAGAGATGACTGGGAGAATGACAGTGGGTCATGTCTGCAGATTTCTATTCAAAACCAGGGATAAGAAGGAGGAAGCATTTGATAAAGCAGAAGTGGAATAGGAGTAGAAGTTAAGCAGCAGTACAAAACGAAGCTTTTTTTATCTACAAACCTATAAGCATGAGACTGGAGGTCAAGGCAATCACTGCAGTTCTGCATTGGATAGTAGAAAATATAGTTACCAGGGGAATTACTGTGCCATTCCTCCCCCCCCCCCCTCCTTCTGCATGCCATGTCAAAAATCTGTCAAGAATCTTTGCACGTCATCTTTCTCTGTCTCTGTCCACAAATCTTTCAAGCTGTGACAAGTTCCAATTTCCTACTCATTATTATACGACAAGATATCAGACCAAACGAAAGGTACAATTAGTCTGCTTCACATGATCACAGTCAGGAACAACAAGTGAACGCTGCGGCTAGAAAGCCTTCATCAGAACATGACATGAACAGAAGTGCAAACACGACTACACAAAATCACTTAGCTGAGGTATTTCTGAGAGAAATCCACTGTCTGGTTACCTGAAGCTCTGACACACATGTTAACAGAGGAAATGAATACTAGCCAGGAAAAGTTGTGGCCAGCAAGGGTCTAACTCATAAATATTAGATAGAGCTCTGTTGGACGTCAAGTCCCTTAGAGGAGTTGCAGCCCACTAATTAGATAACATAATTTTCAAAAGACTTATAGACTCCTTCTCATAGCATGATCACAAAAGGATATTTCTGACACACTGTCTTTGGGCTCTCGCCTTCTTCTGGCTGCTCATCCAAGTCCGAACTTAAGTCTTAATCCAGAACGTGAACTTTACATTCACATTGTTTATTTGATCTGGTTTATTTGAATGCAAACAGTTCCTTGCCTTTCAGGCAAATGCGATTTGAAAAACCCTTAATTAGTCGCATTTGTTACAACATGCTTGTTAGGGGGCAGTGAATCTATTCTTTTCTCCCCAAAAGTGGGGTCTAGGAACCCATGAAATTGTCAAGATTAATTCAGTAAAATCACATCTCAGAGACATGAAGAAATATAGTGGCTTATTTTAATTACATCTTGGCTTAGATCCTGATGACCAAACACATAGAAGAGGCAGTAAGATATCTCTCTCTCTGTGTATGTGTGTGCCTGCGTGCACGCACGCGCCTGTGCCTGCGTATTTTGAGTGCAGACGTGTCTGTATGCAAACATGAAAGAAACCTGGCCAGTAAAACAGCCTTGTCTCGGAAGTTAAATATATTTTGATCATATTAAGCACTATTGTGATGAGAGTGGCGTTCTGCAAAAGATCTGCTACATCCCGATGATGATGATGTATACAACTTGTACCTTCCCTTGGGAGTTCTTGTAGCACTACCTGCTCAAGTATGAAGTGTGTCATGGACAGACAGACTAAGAGGTAGACAGGCAAGCAAGCAAGTAAATAGGCAGACAGACAAGTAGACAACATTTGTATCTTCTCCTGAGTATCCTTATATAACTCTACTTACTGGAGTATTAGTGAGTGAAGGGCAGACAGACAACAGACAGACAGCAGACAAAGAGGCAGAAAGGCAAGCAGAGGGTCTTAGCAGAACCACTTGATGGAGTGTTTGTGTGTCAGGGAAAGGTGGACAACAGACAAAGAGGCAGACATCCAGACAGACAATCATACCTTGTATCTCCCCCTGAAGTCTTTGTAGAACCACTTGATGGAGTGTATGTGTGTCAGGGAAAGGTGGACAACAGACAAAGAGGCAGACATCCAGACAGACAATCATACCTTGTATCTCCCCCTGAAGTCTTTGTAGAACCACTTGATGGAGTGTTTGTGTGTCAGGAAAAGGTGGACAACAGACAAAGAGGCAGACATACAGGCAGACAATCATACCTTGCATCTACCCCTGAAGTCTTTGTAGAACCACTTGATGGAGTGTTTGTGTGTCAGGAAAAGGTGGACAACAGACAAAGAGGCAGACATACAGGCAGACAATCATACCTTGTATCTCCCCCTGAAGTCTTTGTAGAACCACTTGATGGAGTGTTCGTGTGTCAGGAGCAGGCAGATAATAGACAGAAAGGCAGACAACAGCGAGACCAAGAGGCACACAGACAGGCAGACAACAGAGACCAAGAGACAGACATACCTTGAATCTCCCCCTGAGGATCCTTGTAGAACCACTTGCTGGAGTGTTCGTGGGTCAGGGGAAGAGCACCCTGTGAGACATCTAGTTGTCTGCCCTCTCTGTGTTCCTACGAAACACCACAAACATATTCACAACCATGCAATTTCACATCTGGCGCCTCATGACTTAGTCTGAGGTTTCAACTTCACAGCAACCGAGTCACCCCATACCTGCTCCGTTCCTGTGCCAGTGAAAATCAAATGACCTGACCCCTAATGTCCCATTTGAAAAACTAGTGAACAATCAATTAGGCCCAGTCATCATCATGTAGCAGGTCTTATCACGTCGTTCTTCATCACAGTCTGTCTGAACGAAACTCGGTCTCTCTTCAGCTCTCCCGCCTCCAGCAGTTTTACATTCAAGAAGTCACTTACATTCTGTGCACATTTTTGTGCTGGTTTAGCCCCTGTCCCTCCTTCCTGGTACCATGCCTTCTGACAAGATGCTGTTTATTAGCCAATCTTCCTTGATGTTCAGATCTTTTAAAATGTCAGCATTTTGTCTCTTCCTTGTCCAAGATATTCTGAGAAACTTTCTATAACAGCTCAAAAGCCCCTATTTTCTTTCCTAAGGACTGGGAGATAGTCAATGATTCACATCCGTAGGCAGCCACAATTTTAACTTTGACTTCCTTGCTGGTGCTTAATCATGAACATTTAAGGTTGTCTAATCTTTGCATTGCTAAGTTGCTAAGGCCATCCTCTTTATGACTTCTGTCGAATAGTCGGCATTGTTATTTATTAGGGGGCCTAGATATTCAAAGTTTGTGACATTTTCAATTTTTTCATCATTTATTGTTATTTTTGGATGACAGCCAGTTTTATTTGTGGACATTATTAGCCCCAGCACAATCCAGCAATATGTTGACATAGTAAATGCATAAGACAGTTGCTAGAGGCACAAAAGCCATCAGTCGCTCCCCAGATATGCAGTCTGTCAACTGAAGTAGTCGGTCTCAATAAGTAGCTATACACATGTAAAATTATTACAAAAAGTATTTCACCAGAACTGGCTCTGGCCATACTGAACACCACAACAAAGCCGCTGCAAAAATTAAAGGCATTTCACATTAAAAACACAGCTCACAGTGCTGCACCAGTAGCTTTGACAGCAAAACTGCAGACTTACGTCCATATTTGGAAACTGCATAAGCAAAGCGCTGTCAGAAGCAAAAATAAATTTATAGCTAAAGTCTGCCATGACTAATTTATGACTAGTTACGAGTTTGCTGAAACCATATGTGTTGGGCCGAATTGTGCGAGTATCGTATGGCCTTTCTGTGATCAGGGCTTTCAAACTGCACTGCAGAATTAGAAGTTTAACAAATGATTCGTGACAATTCCCGCCCAATTGATGTGATTATTACAGATGGCTCTGTGTTGAGAAGCAGGAAAAGTGTGCTAGGATTCACAGCAGAAGTGAATGGACGTTGCTTAGTGCAACAAAACCTGGCATATGATATGGGAACATCTAGTTTGAGACTGGAGATGGAGGCAGTCATTTGAGACTGGAGATGGAGGCGGTCATTTGAGACTGGAGATGGAGGCGGTCATTTGAGACTGGAGATGGAGGTGGTCATTTGAGACTGGAGATGGAGGCAGTCATTTGAGACTGGAGATGGAGGCGGTCATTTGAGACTGGAGATGGAGGCGGTCATTTGAGACTGGAGATGGAGGCAGTCATTTGAGACTGGAGATGGAGGCGGTCATTTGAGACTGGAGATGGAGGCAGTCATTTGAGACTGGAGATGGAGGCAGTCATTTGAGACTGGAGATGGAGGCAGTCATTTGAGACTGGAGATGGAGGCAGTCATTTGAGACTGGAGATGGAGGCAGTCACTGCAGCCTTCTGCTCGCTTGAGAACCAGCTGCACACATGTCATAATTATAACTGACTCACAGAGCATGTTGAGACAGGAGGAGACAGGCATGCATGCAGAGTGGCAAGCATTGAATCATAGGCTTTGGGTCATTAGTGCCCTTTGGATATTTTCTCCAGGATTTGCCGAAGTCTTGGGAAATTAACAGGCAGAAAGAATGACTGTTTCTGCAGCATCTGGTGGAAAACTGATGCATGACAAGCCAGATTTTGTAAAGGATCTTTGGGAGCGAGTGAAAAGTTCTGTGGCACAAACCGATTATCCCGGTCTGGAGAGAATGGTGCAACAAGGAGTGTCTATAGGATCTGGCCGATGCTCAACTCTGAAGGGACAGGCCAGATGGACACAAAATCCTAATGTTACTGGTAGCATCAGATTTGGAACTCTGCGCTTGGTGCTGAAGATGGGGACCTGGCGCCTATGGGAATATCATATTGCAATGTCTTCGGCTCTGAACTCACTACTTTCAAACAAACCACAGTATTTTCCATCCTAAAACAGGACATTTAAACAAACTACAGGTCTGTCTGCCTTATGTCAAGACATGCAAATAAACCATAGGACTTTATGCCACACACTTGGATAAATAAAGTGTACAACTTTATACCACACATTAAGACAATTAAAGTGTACGATTTTATGCCACACACTTGGACAAATAAAGTGCACGACTTTATGCCACACTAGGACAAATTAACTGTACTGCATTGTACACACTAGGACAATTAAAGTGTACTATTTTATGCCACACACTAGGACAAATAAACTGTACTGCATTATGAAACACACTAGGACAATTAAAGTGTACTATTTTATGCCACACACTAGGACAAATAAACTACTATTTTATGCCAAACACTAGGACGAATAAACTGTACGGCATTATGCCACACACTAGGACAAATAAAGTGCACAGCATTATGCCACACACTAGGACAAATAAAGTGTACAGCATTATGCCACACACTAGGACAAATAAACTACGGCATTATGCCACACTCTTGGACAAATATAGTGTACAATTTTATGCCACACAAGACAGATAAACAAGCTGCAGGACTTTATGCCAAACACCAGGACATATACCGCCCCCCCCCCCCTCCAAGTGAAAAGTCAATGACATCCTACATCCAGACATATGTACAAATTGTAGGTCTTTCTGCTCCACATCAAACCATACAAACTCTAGGACCTTCCACCCTACATTAGGACATTCAAACACCACAGGAACAAAGAACAAACTTACTGCTGCCATAGAAGCCACCAGATTCTGTAATGACTTCTCCATGTGTAAAAACTCCGGGTTTGTCAACCGTGGCCGTGTGACCTGCTCCAGCTTTGGGACCGCTGACGAGGGCTGAAGTGAAGCAGGCGTGGAGGTGTCTGTGTAGTGTTCCGACGGGGAAGAGTTCCCATTTGCTTCTTCACCTTTCTTGCTGGGAAAACTGAAGCCTGTGTCTCCATCCCCTAGGTTTAAATTTAAAAAGATGTAGTCAAAACTGTCTAGGCATATAGTGGTGAATTTAAGACTATGTCTAAATGCACAGCTAAAGTCGTTAGTGTTCATCTCTTGCAGACCCATGTGGCTCTCGATGGCTACATTTCTGGAGAAAACAGGAAAGACCCATGTGGCTCTCGATGGCTACATTTCTGGAGAAAACAGGAAAGACCCATGTGGCTCTCGATGGCTACATTTCTGGAGAAAACAGGAAAGACCCATTTCTCTCTAACAAGCATGTTGTACAGTAGTTGTTAATCTACCCAATGCCCTGACCCTTCAATACAGTTCCTCATGTTGTGGTGACCCTTCAATACAGTTCCTCATGTTGTGGTGACCCTTCAATACAGTTCCTCATGTTGTGGTGACCCTTCAATACAGTTCCTCATGTTGTGGTGACCCTTCAATACAGTTCCTCATGTTGTGGTGACCCTTCAATACAGTTTCCTCATGTTGTGGTGACCCTTCAATACAGTTCCTCATGTTGTGGTGACCCTTCAATACAGTTCCTCATGTTGTGGTGACCCTTCAATACAGTTCCTCATGTTGTGGTGACCCTTCAATACAGTTCCTCATGTTGTGGTGACCCTTCAATACAGTTCCTCATGTTGTGGTGACCCTTCAATACAGTTCCTCATGTTGTGGTGACCCTTCAATACAGTTCCTCATGTTGTGGTGACCCTTCAATACAGTTCCTCATGTTGTGGTGACCCTTCAATACAGTTCCTCATGTTGTGGCGACCCTTCAATACAGTTCCTCATGTTGTGGTGACCCTTCAATACAGTTCCTCATGTTGTGGTGACCCTTCAATACAGTTCCTCATGTTGTGGTGACCCTTCAATACAGTTCCTCATGTTGTGGTGACCCTTCAATACAGTTCCTCATGTTGTGGCGACCCTTCAATACAGTCCCTCATGTTGTGGTGACCCTTCAATACAGTTCCTCATGTTGTGGTGACCCTTTAATACAGTTCCTCATGTTGTGGTGACCCCCAACCATACATTTATTTTTCTTGCTACTTCTAAATTCAGTAAATATGTGTTTTTCGATGGTCTTAGGCGACCCCTGTGAAAGGTCATCAGTCAGTCAGTCATTCAGTAGTTAGTCATCAGTCGGTTGTCAGTAAGTCATCAGTCAATTAGTTTTCAGTTAGTTAGTCGTCATTAAGTACATCAGTCATCAGTCAGTAAGTTGTCAGTTAGTTAGCCATCAGTCAGTAAGTTGTCAGTTGGTTAGCCATCAGTCAGTAAGTTGTCAGTTGGTTAGCCATCAGTCAGTAAGTTGTCGGTTAGCCATCAGTCAGTAAGTCATCAGTAAGTTGTCAGTTAGCTAGTCCTCAGTCAATTCGTTGTCAGTTAGTTCGTCCAGGTTCCGACATCACTGCAGATGAGGTTGCCATATAACCGCTCTGCTTCTGTAAAAATCACACAAAATAACCTTCACTGTCCCGTTAGAAAACTAGTTTTAAAAAAAACTGTCACCAGCAAAATCTTGAAGCTTGCAAATGCAAAGTAAGCAAGCATAAGGCAGCTGTCAGATGTGCCGACACTAACTTTCCCACACCAGAACCGCGGCGCTAATGGTCAACCATGAAAGCTGGTATTCCACTCACATAAGTACAGACCATTCTCAGCGTAAGTACCCTCAAATAAATAAGCCTTGTTTACACAGTGTTAATCAGACAACAACGCTAGCCTCATACTTTACAGACTAAACAGACCTCTACCTACCTTTATTAGAAGAGCCAGTCTTGCTGGAGACAGGAAGCACACTGACAGAATCTGGCTGCCCCTTGTTACTTGCCAGTTGTGCCTTGGACTGATCGTGTGACCTGGAATCGACATCTCCAGTGCCGTTGCGAGCATTGGGTGGGATGTAGGGCGGCTTGGAGGACTGTGTGAGGGATACTCTTTCACCGGTGTTGATGGTGTGAGCTTCTGAGGTGGTTAAGTGGTCGGATACCTGTGAGGGGTGGTGGTTACCTGTTTTCTGTAGAGAAACAACAGGCAATGACTGAATCAAGCGAGAGCTAAGTACTGCCAAGGTGTATGATGTAATCATCAATTATTCTTACAATCAGGTAAGAGCTAAGTACTGTCAAGGTGTATGATTTAATCATCAATTATTCTTACAATCAGGTAAGAGCTAAGTACTGTCAAGGTGTATGATGTAATCATCAATTATTCTTACAATCAGGTAAGAGCTAAGTACTGTCAAGGTGTATGATGTAATCATCAATTATTCTTACAATCAGGTAAGAGCTAAGTACTGTCAAGGTGTATGATGTAACCATCAATTATTCTTACAGTCAGGTGACTGGCAGTGTCTAACAAGAGGTGCAGTATGTATGTGTATGCATGAGTGTATATATTACAAGAAAAAAACCATAAGTGTATTACTGTGATACATGGCTCATTTATACACATCATTAGAAACAAATACTGTTGCCAGGTTTTGTTAGTTTTCTCTAACTAAACAGGAAATTTTATCTTATTTTTACATGACTTACATCAGTCAAACGGAGAGACAGCTTGGAAATAGAGTAGCAAAGCACATACCCAAATGGTTACATACACAGCTCAGTGATTCTTCTAGGGTGTCGAGACCAATCAAGAGGAAAAAACCCACTTCTTCCATAGGACGCCATCTACTTAATTCCAGACACATAATTGACACAGACAGAGCTTTCCGTGTGGTTTACCACACTCCAAACAGGAGACTTTTGATAATCGCCGAAGCGTTAACAATAAAAATCAACAACCCCCTTCTTTGTAAGCAGATGGAATTTATCGTAAATTTGAAGTAACCCTGGTAATTTACGTGACTACGGTGAGCTTCCGGCGGCCATGAAACAGACGCAATGTTTTGGAAGGAGCTATTTGCATTTCAGTTGAATTTATTGTTTTGTGCTTTATTTTATGTTGATGTAACTATGTAGTAACGCATCTGATGAGATACAGCGAAATATGCCTGGCAATAAATTTTGCAATGGATTCTTTGTGTCTGCATTATTTAAATTTATTATTTTTTTTATTAGTGTTCCCCAGCTGTAAACTCCAGTGGAAAGTTCGTGTTGTTTGTCCATTTCTGGATATTGGCCTTATTACAGAACCTGAGCTAATTCGCATCGTGCCCATCCACTATACAGATCTGGCTTATCTGTCAGAAGGCTGTTGGAAAATCTGCTCTCAGGCAGATGCACTCTGACCTCGACGGAAACATCCCTGATCAGTCAAACGAAATGATATGCTTGTTGAGAAAATGGGACACTAGAACACATGAGCGTGGAGACATCTTCACCACACAGGATGCTTTCATCAGGACACCAGAAAAATAGCCAACACACAAATGGCCTACTGATGTGGACAAAAACCTTCTAGAGACTGTTTAAAAGTGAGAGAACTGACTTCAATGCATCAGATTTGTATCCCACAGTGCTCAGTCTCTTAGTGATCTAGTGCCCTTCTTCTTCTACTTCTTCCTCTTCTACATTAACCTTTAATCCTGCAGCCCCGAGAGAATCGGTTTTCAGACTTGTATGGGTTTTTTAAATGACATGGTGACTTTGGGCCAGGCAACTGCATTGTGTGTAGACGGGGTAGTTAAGATTATATTTACGACACAAATTTGAGATTTTATTTTAGAATGAAACAAGTTCCTTATTTTTTAGGTGGGTCACAGTGATGTCATAATAACCTCATAATACCACTTTGATTCACATGGCTGCAATGATTAATGTTTTCATGGTCAAAGGGAAGAAAAGCGGTTACTTCTTTGCTCCATTTGTAGTTAGTAATTATTTCTCTTCATGTTAATAAACAAAATGTATCTTTGGGCCAAATAATGACAAAAAATAATTCTTAAAAACCTGGCACAGTGAGGCTAAAGTGGCCACCGTGGCAGCCTATCTGCTCAGGGGCCATCGGTTTCACCCCCCATGGGGTTTTAATAAAAAAAATGGCCAAGGCCCAAAACTTCTGCATCATAATCATCTCTTCCTCAGGGAAGAGTTTTAGAGAGCTATAACAATGAGTTACTTTTTAACGATTGTGTTGTGGTTTACAGCTAGGTTGCAGTATCTATGCATATAGGCCTTAAACATCTGATTTCAACAAACTTCTAAATAGTGGGGGGAACAGTGGGTCAACTCACTGTCTTCTCCTCTTCCTCAGGGAAGAGTTTTAGAGAAGTATAACGATGCTTTTTAACAAATGTGTTGTGGTTTACAGCTAGGTTGTAGCATCTATGCCTTAAGGCCTAAAACATCTGATTTCAACAAACTTCTAAATAGTGGGGGGAACAGTGGATCAATTCTTTTTTCCCTCTCACAATAAGGCCCCAGAACCCATATGGGGAGGTGCCCCTCTGATGTGGTTGCTTCAACTCCACAACCAATTTTTTTTTTACTGCTCTTCCACCTTCCAATGAAGCGCCAGCCCTCAAGAACACACAAATAATAAATTAATAGAATATACTGCAAAAAATTTACCAGACAAACAAATAAACAAAAGTGAACTTAATAAAGGCTTATTAAAACAAACAAAGAAACAATAACTATCTCATTACCTTGTCACCGACTTCAATATTAACTGTATCAGGCTTTGTATCAGAATATTTTTTGCCCTGAAAAAAAATATTTAATGAAAGTGTCTAGAACATGCTTGAATTATGTATTTAAAACACGATCAAATAACAAACTATCACTGGACAAAGAAATAAACATCAGGATAGGTGAGGCAGCAACAATGGGCAGATTAAGTTTATGAGAACAGAAAGCTCACTACTAAAACCAAAACTCTTGTCTATCAGACTTGTGTTCTCAACACTTATGGCAGTGAAACTTGGTCAGCTTATTTGCACCAGGTGAAATGACTAAACAGCTTTCACATGTGATGCCTAAAAAGAATACTTGACCTTAACTCTACCAGACCTGAGGCCCTGAACCTAACTGCCTCCTATACCTGAGCTCCTGGGCATTAACGCGAAAAAACCAACATGATATACACAAATATTAGTTACATGCAAACAAGTGGCCAGAATAAGATAAAACTTGGAGACATTGTAGAAAATAGGTTTACCTTTTATCTAGTACCAATATTCCACCTTTGTGTGCAAATCCACCAAGCAGGATCAACCTTGTTTCACAAAGTGAACACCAGATGTTGCTGTTTGAGGGACACGCCACCTTCTCTTACTATCGATCTACTTCTAGATTTATAATTTTCAAGATTATCCTCATCATTCCAGCTCTCACTGACTGTGTCACTTCAACTGGGAATGTATTCTTCATGAAATTATGACTCTGCAGAGTCTGAATCAACCAACGTATCGATCACCTGTTGGACTGTGAAACGCCTAGACCTACTTCACTTTCCTGTCGAAGTGCTTGGTTTACCAGCCGCTCGTTTTTTTGTGAATTTTCAGAATTTGTTCACGTAAATCAACACAAATTTAATCCGAACATATGCGGGCGGACATCTGAAAAGACTATCCACGAGGTCTGATTACGATTGGCTAGTTACTTTTAGTTTGTGGCTCATTGTTTTCTCATAGTACGCAAATTCCCGACATTGAGGGACAGTGGTTTGGCAGCAGATTTGGAAATTCCCGTAATAGCGGGCCAGCGGTCTGGTAGAGTTGAGTGGCAGGGCAAGACCACAAACACAGAGGTACTGGATAGAGCAGACACTACAGTCTGCTCAGTGCTCAGTCTCTGAAGATTCAGTCAGATCTGGGCCACATCTGAAGAAAGAAGGATGAAAGATCTCTAAGGACATCATGTATGGTGAATCACGGACGGGTAGAAGATGTTGAAGCCGACCTCTGTGATATAAAGATGTGTGCAAGCGGGACATGAATGATACAGGTACTGAGTTGGATTCGTAGGAACCGGACGCCATGGACCGTGTTGCACAGAGAAGGAAATCAAAAGATAATTAATAGGAATAAAGGAAAGAAATTAATACAAAAAGGTTGAGAGCTGTGTTTGAGAAAAAGCTTATTAAAACATGCCATGGCACTAGCAGTCCCGAAATTACGTGTTCTTCTTGTCCTCCTTTTGCGTTCAACCAAAGACGTAGATGCTTTGATGCTGTTTACAAAATGGCTGCGATATGTGTGTCTGCCGAAATGTCTTGCCTTTCGGCAGATACGTCCGACTTCTACAGGCATTTGTTGCCCAGGTTAGCTTTCTCAGTAATGGGCTGTACAAGGGACGCACAATAGTGATCTTCTCACACAAAGCCTGTACATATGCTTGTTACGCCCTGTCCGGAGGACTAACTGATTTTTGCTTAATCAAGTTACAAATGGGAAACTTACTTCCTTTGTTGACACAAAAGCTCCGCTGGAATCAAAGGTGCCTGGGTCATCCCCGACATCATCTTCAACCCACTCTGGAACTTCTCCTGACAAAATAAACAAACAAAACCCATTTAACAGGAAGTAGAGCCAGATTTACTTTGCTACAGAAAACATAAGGGGTTGTAAAAGCAGTTTTTCTTCTTATTTACATTCACTGGCTGTGAACCTCGGTGGAAAGCTCTGATTGGTCGTCTTGCTACAGAACATGAGTGTTATGTGCACATCTGTTTTACAGATCTGGCATATTTGTATGCAGACTGTTTGTTCCTTGCCTCCTCAGGTACAGGCCCTCCTACTCTGAAGGAAACTCCCTATTAAGTTCCATTGTATGACATGCTAGTTAAAGTGAAGAGGATCTATTCTTTGTTCTATAAAATGGAGCCCTAAAACCCATACAGGGAAGCCGGTGTTCATTTCCGTACAGTTATTTTTTAATCACATCTTTCCACATTTATGTTCGCATATGATTTTATAATCTTGTGGGATCTTCTTCTTGCTCTCTTTGTGCTCATTCTATCGTTTCAAATGTCTCTTGATTGTGCGCATTTAATTTCTGCTTGGACAACTAACAATAAACGACCTTTTCTGTGCCTTCTGGCATATTGAGCATATGGGGCTAGACCTAAATTTTTTAGACCTATTGGCAATTGGTGAGTGACGTGATCAGCTTCACGGTGGCCGCCTTTACTGCATCTCGTACACACTCAAGACTGGGTCGACCTGGGCCTATCAGCGACACAACTTTAATGGCACAGCTGTTAACAAAAGTCCAGATTCATAACACTACGTGGCTGTCAGCACAAGTCAAGATTCATAACACTTCACAGATGTCAGCAAAAGTCCAGATTCCCAACATTGCACAGACACCAGCAAAAGTCAAGATTCATAACACTTCACAGAGGTCAGCACAAGTCCAGATTCATAACACTTCGCAGAAAGAAAAAGTCCAGATTCCCAACATTGTATGCTATCAGCAAAAGTCAAGATTCTCAACACTGTATGCTGTCAGGAAAAGTCCAGATTCTCAACACTGTATGCTATCAGCAAAAGTCAAGATTCTCAACACTGTATGCTTCCAGCAAAAGTCAAGATTCTCAACACTGTATGCTATCAGCAAAAGTCAAGATTCTCAACACTGTATGCTATCAGCAAAAGTCAAGATACTCAACACTGTATGCTATCAGCAAAAGTCCAGATTCCCAACACTGTACGGCTGTCAGCAAAAGACCAGATTCCCAACACTGTACGGCTGTCAGCAAAAGCCCAGTTTTCCAACACTGCACGGCTGTCGACAAAGGTCAAGATTCCCAACACAGGTTGGCTGCGACAAAAGTCAAGATTCCCAACACTACACTCCGTGGTATAGTGGCTAGATGCTCACTTGCGTATCCAAAAGTCATGGGTTCAAGTCTTGAGGGAGCCAGTCATCCCCCCCCCCATGACCTTGGCTCCCAGGCTGACTCAGTCTTAAATGGCTACAAGGTAAAGTCTTCGGAAAATGGCCGATGTAATGTTGACCATATCATCAACCAAGCACCGACTGGTCAAACACAGGTCTAGCGCTATGTGCCCAATATGCCTAAATGTGTGGAAAAGGGGTCTTTACTTTTATATATGAGGATGATGATGATTTCAAACTAGAGACACAACAAACGAGCAGAGCAATGAATCCACAACTATTCTATTCCTATGTAGGTTCCGAAGCCCCATTGTGGGAAAAACAAAAAGAGACCCACTGTCTCCCCAATTAGCATTCTGTAGGAGTCGACTAATCAGGGGCTTCCTTCAAATTTGGAGTAAATCTGCCTGAGAGGCAAGGAACCAACAGTCTGCATACAGACACAACACTCAGGTTCTTGAACAAGACTAAAGTCCACAGGTGGACGAACATCCAGTGTACAGCCAGTGAACGTGAAGAAGATGAAAACTACTGTACAGTTCTTACCTTCATTGTCATATGATTCACTTGCCCGACGAGGTAATGGTGCCTCCTGATCAAAGCCTCGTCGCGGAGGTAGTGGTCTTCTGTCACCTTCGAATCCCAGCAAATCCCTCTGTGGTTCTCGCCAATTTGACCGTGTCGGAGGACCTGGGGAAAAAAAGCCAGGTCATTATTTTTTTTCACTTAACAGCAGAAAAACTGGATAATCTGCTAGCTTCATTCTTCTTGTCTGTAATACCTATTGGAACTGCCATCATCAGAACTGAAATTCTTCACTGACTGCTGCAGATGAGGATGCTGTGCTTATGGGAGTGTCCTTACCACTGAGATATCAGTTCTTAGCTAAACATTCCCAATGAAGCATAGACTTACAATCAGTCTGTGTCTTCACCTCACCTTTCAGAGATCCCTATAGACTTACAATCTGTCTGTGTCTTCACCTCACCTTTCCCAGATCCCTATAGACTTACAATCTGTATCCTCACCTCACCTTTCCTAGATCCCTATAGACTTACAATCTGTATCCTCACCTCACCTTTCCCAGATCCCTACAGACTTACAATCTGTATCTTCACCTCACCTTTCCCAGATCCCTATAGACTTACAATCTGTATCTTCGCCTCACCTTTCCCAGATCCCTGTAGACTTACAGTCAGTCTGTGTCTTCACCTCACCTTTCCAAGATCCCTATAGACTTACAATCAGTCTGTGTCTTCACCTCACCTTTCCCAGATCCCTATAGACTTACAATCAGTCTGTGTCTTCACCTCACCTTTCCCAGATCCCTATAGACTTAAAATCAGTCTGTGTCTTCACCTCACCTTTCCCAGATCCCCTGATCTTTCTAAGCAGCACTGCTGTCCTGCGATCAGAGTGGCCTGCATCTCTTGATAAGACTCAGATCTAGAGGATATCATGGATTTTCTGTCAAGGACATTTAAGTGTGCCAGGTAACTAGCAGGCAGATAGGTTAGCTGCTGCCGCTTCTCTGAAAGTGGGCGGCTAATTTAGGATATAACGGATGTGGTGAAGACATTAATTCAACGGGGATGACGACATGTTCTGGAAGATATTCAAAACTGAAGAGGAAACCAAGGTGGACTTTTAATCAGGTTACAACTGGTACTGTTAGCATGTCAACTTTTTGTTGGCTACTGAAGAAGGGGATGGAGCACGTATGGGAATGTCCTGAATGCAGTGATGTCAATTCATTCATTCCTCAGAAAATGATGATCCTCCATCCGTGTCTCTTCACCGTTCACTCACCCCCAAAGAGTTCATACAACATCCATCTTAGTCTACAAACAAAATATGGTCCTAGCAAATGTCTTAAGCACTACAGGTATAACAATGGTCCTTTTCTTACTTTACGGACACTTACCCCATCTTGTGTTTGCCTCCCGAGTGTTTCTCCATGGGACCCCACCCTCTTCCTCGTCTTCATCATCATGCCTCTTATCTCGCCAGTTATCGCTGGCTGACCTTGAAAACTCTCGCTTCGCAGTGCCTGACTCATCGTAACCTCGTGAGTAACTGCGTTCAAATTTTCTGCCACTGAAAGACAAACAGTTGGTCAAAATTATCCCAGCTCATCAAAGAGTTCCAAGAACAACTCGACATGGCCTTACTTAGCTAACACCAACAAAATATGTGTCATTTCCAGTTGTGGTAATATAGCCCCATTGGGGAGGTGGAGGTGATTCCCCCCCCCCCCAACTCCGTCATAAAAGGCAACTATTTAGTTAGTTAATTAAGGGTTGCTGAAATCTGTATTAGGCCAAAGCGTGCAGATTTCACAGGCTAACTGTAAACCACAACACAATGTACCAACTGTTTTTTAAGGGCAAGTGTAGAGAAAGTAACATGGAAGTCACTGGCAGCAGACACATGCGCCCAATGCTGTCTTTAGGAATCGTACATAGTAAGGACCCTATGACTTCTAAAGTGTAACTCTCATAGTCATATTTATCCATGTAAAAGACAATGTTTTCCCTATTTTTTTTTTATTAGTTTAAAATTGCGGGTCATCTTCATTCACCGGCTGTAAACTCCAGTGGAAAGTTCTGGTTGTTTGTCCACCTTTGGACTTTAGTCTTGTTCCTTCTTCTTCTTGGACTTTTGGCTTTGTACCAGGACCTGAGCTTTGCCTGTACATTTGTTTTACTGGCTTATTTGTGTGCAGCTCTTGTTCCCTGCCACTCAGGCAGATGTACTCTGGCAGATGAAAACATCAATCCTATCTCTAGCACGACTATGGCCATTGTTTCGGGGGACTTGGTGTTGCCTCATCTGTGTGGTCTTTGTCTCTCTATCTACAGATGTCCAGGAGAACCCACTTAGGGCAGCCGCGTGTAGACTGGACAGCCATCAAGTGAAGGCAGGGGCAGATCAAGGGCATTCCCCGCCGTACAAGGAGGCTTCCATAAATGCAGAGCCGACACATGACGCTCTAGTTCTGGGCTCACCCAAGAAATCGTCACGTCCTGCACATGACTGCTTAACCTCACAACCATATGTTGAGCTTTCTATATATCATTGGCTGCGCCCTCCGGAGATCAGCAGGGAGCAGCCCGCAAGTCCAGGACTCAGATGACAGCACAAAAAAGTACATTCTTCTTCATCACGTTAGACACCTTTAACATTGGTTCAATTGCGCGCTTAGCACTGCAGTATGGAGAGGCATGCCCCGGGCATGGTGTCACCTGTCCCAAAACTCTGGCAAGTGGGGCGATGGATACACACATTTGAACCTTTCTGCCGATTAGGATTCATGACGGTCCGATACTGAGACTTTGCCTGTGTGCCATAGGACGAATCTTTGTCGGATATTTGAGCCTCCTCAGCAGGCTGTCGTGGTGCACCTAAATGTGGTAACGGTGACGTTGAGGGTTGACAGGATGTACATAGACAGGATTTTACCGCAAGAAACCATCCACAGATGTTAAGCTGCAGGTAAATCTCTTGGTCAAGGGCTGAGTCTCAGCAGCGCAGTTTTCCTTTCACTACATACTTTTAACTAAGAGTTGTCATTCTGGTGGTACATTTGGCAAGCAGACTTTACTCGTGTTGGAAATGGGTTTTGATAGACATTTTCACCCAATCTTTTGGGGGTGGGTTGATTTGAGCCAGGCTGGACACTACATCTGTGGGAGCCACCAACTCCGAGATCCACCGCCAGCCATGTTAATGCTCATTTGAGACATCTGTGGCGCACGACGGGGACGTGTAGCAGGAGTCTTACACGAGGTTCTGTAAAACCAGCACAGAGTAGCCTGGCGCCCTAGGTGAGGTACATCAGACCTAACTTTCTCCTACGTCTGTGACCAAAATCACAGCGCCAGTCTTGCTCCAGAATCCGAGTGTTGCCTGCACATCCAATGAACAGATCTAACTTAATTGTATGCAGATTGCTGATTCCTTGCTGCACATCAGTTTTACAGATCTAGCTCATTTGAATGCAGACGTTGGTTCCCCTTATCCCAGGCATCTGTACTAAGACTTCGAAGAGGAACCCCCCCCCCCCTCCCTCCCCTCCCAATTAGTCGCCCTGTATAACAGCTCGTTAGGGGACAGCAAAATCAGTACATTATTTTAATGTCCAAACTGGTAACTATTCAAAGAATTAATGACATCAAACTTACACATGTTCCCAGCCATCTTGTGTCTGCCGACTGTACCCGACATCGCCATTCTCCGATCGCAGGTTATAGCCCTCCCCCCGACCACGTCCTGAAATTTTCATTTAAAAAAAAAAGATCCAGGTGAGTTTAGCAGTGACAAACATTACCTACAGCAGTGTTCTTAACCCTACCAGACCGCTGGCCCCATTTTGCGGGAATTTCCTAACCTGAGGCTATACTGCTGGACCGATTTTTGGGGAATTTGCGTTGCACAGGGAAAAATATGCGTCACAGACTAAAAATAACCAACCAATCGCCATCAGACTTCATGGCTAGTCATTGCGAAAGACTTCCCACATGTGTTGAGATTTCTTTGTGTGGTGTGTGAAAATAATTGGGAAAATTCTCAATAAAACAAGCGGCTTCAACAAGAAAGTGATGTAGGTCTAGGCTTGTCACAGTCCAACAGGTGATTGATACTTTGGTTAATTCAGACTGTGAATACGTTCATGAAGAGTATGTTCCCAGTGTAAGTGACACAGTCAGTGAGAGCTAGAGTGAGGAGGAGAATTATGAAAATTATTTATTTAAAACTAGATAGATAGTAAGAGAAAGGGGCGTGTCCCTCAAACAGCAACATCTGGTGCTCACTTTGGGAAACAAGACTGATTCTGTTGGGTGGATTGGCACACAAAGGGGGAATATTGATGCTAGATGAAAGGTAAACCTATTTTCTATAATGTCTCCAAGTTTCATCTTATTCTAGCCACTTGTTTGCATGTAACTAATATTTATGTATATCATGTTGTTTTTTTCGTGTTGATGCCCAGGAGCTCAGGTATAGGGAGCAGTTAGGTTCAGGGCCTCAGGTCTGGTAGGGTTAAAACCTATGAGTCACGGCCCACCATTTTGAAACTGAATCCATTTGCACAAATAATCTGCATTTTCAGCTTTAACATGAAAACAAAACAGCACTACCAGCTTCATGTGGAGAGTGATCTCTGTTGTGCTTTGTCTTAAACCAGACCAAAACCAGCAAATATCATCAAGACAACACAGCATTACCTATTATATCAATATATGGACACTCAGTTACCAACTAACTGATAATTGTTTCTTCCGCTATTTTACACTGAAATATGTGTGTTTTTCTACAAGTTTATGTTAACAGTACCTGAAATTTCTCTTTTTGTCTTCCTATTTTTTAATCACATCCTGTTATTGTTGGCATGGAGGGGGGTCCTTGCCTCATACTCAAGGGGGTCGCAACCTGAAAGTGGTCAAAGACTACGGGTCTGGACAGTAAAACTGAGGAACATTGTTCCTATTTCTGGCACACAATCAAAAAAAAAATTATGTAACAAAAAGTCCTCTTCTTCTTTGCGTTCACCAGCTGTAAACTCTGGCGGAAAGTTCTGGTTATTCATCCACTTCTGGACTGCAGTCCCGTTTCAGAACCTGAGTGTTGCGCGTGCATCCGATTTACAGATCTGACTCATTTGTATGCAGACTGCTGGTACCTTGCCTCTCAGGCAGATGCACTCCGACTTCAAAGGAAGCTCTCAATTAGTCGACTCTTACGACATGCTTTCCGGTAGGCAGTGGGTCTATTCTTGTTTTCCCTATAATTGGGCCCCAGAACCCACACAGGTGTAACAGAAAGTGACATATGTTTCCATGATCCCTTATGGAAGCAAATAATGGTACCGTTATAATCTGCCCATAAGAGATAAATAAGAATACATACAACGGCTGTTTACATGAAGACAATTATTCAAGGCTGACAACCCACCTCTCCCTCTGCTCCGGTCGGCTGTACCCCCACCTCTGCTGGCTCGAAGTGGAGGACCAGAGCTGCGACCCACAGCTCTGAGTACCACAGTACTGTTAAACCCTTGTGAGACCAGGCGCTGGCGAGGAAACGACACAGGACAAAAATCAAAAAGGGTGAAGCGTGATACAATAATTGTCAAACTATCGGAAAATGGATCATCGAGAAGCAGCAGCACATCCACAGCCTCTCTCAGACATTACTACTCATTCTACCTGTGTGGGTTACAGGACCCCATTGTGGAGGGTGGGGGGGGGGGGGGGGGGGGGGGGGGGGGGGGGGGGCGGGGGGTACAGACCCACTGCCTCCCTAACAAACATGTCATTAAATTTGATTAATTAAGGGTTTCTTCCGAAGTTGGGGTGCTCCTGCCTGAGAGGCAAGAAACCAACAGTCTGATTACAAATGAGCCAGAACTGTAAAATGGATCTGCATGCAAAACTCACATTCTGGAACAAGACTAAAGCCCAGAAGTGGATAAACAACCATAACTTTCCGCTGAAGTTTACAGCTGTTTTTTTTTTTTTTAATCGATCACCGGCTGTGAATTCCGGCGGAAGGTCCCGGTTAATCGTCGCTTGGACTTTTGGCATTCACCTGGACCTGATTTTTGCGTGTACAACCGTTTTTCTGTTCTCTGCCTCATGGGCAGCTGTACTCCGACTTCGAAGGAAGACGTCAGGCCTATTTCTAGGATGACTGTGGCCATTGTTTTGTGTGGGTCGAGACGTTGCCTGATTTGTGTGGTGTCCACTTTGTCTCCTTCTCCGCAGTACCAATTTGGGGCAGCCCCCTGTGGAACGGTTAGCCCTCAAGGGAAGGCAGGGGCAGATCATGGGCATTCCCCGCCATCCAAGGAGGCTTCCATGTATGCAGAGCCGGCACATGGCGCTCTGGTTCTGGGCTCACCCAAGGAATCGTCACGTCCTGCACATAACTGCTTAACCTCACAACCGTATCAGGCCTCCCACTCAACAAAGGGCTGCGCCCTCAGGAAGTCAGCGGGGAGCAGCCTGTGGGTTTTGGACTTTTGTGACCATACGAATAGGTACATTCTTTTTTTCTTCGCACGTAAGATTTCTTTGATAAGCCGTTAGCCCGACAGAATTTTACATCCTGTGTCAGGCATATCGTTATCATTTTGGTCCCAACACTCGGGCGAGTGGGGTCTTTGGGTGTGGACATTTGATCTTTTTCCGTTCAATACAAATTGTGATGGTCAGATTTTGAGCTTTTTTGTGTGCTGTAGGATCTAGTTTTGTCAGACATGTAGGCTTAGCCAGCCAATGAGCTGTTGCTGTTGTGGTGTACCTCAGCGCGGTGACGACGACACTGAGGGTGAACCGATTATGTACATGGATGGCCAGCCTATGGATGGTTGCTGTTGTGGTGTACCTCAGCGCGGTGACTACGACACTGAGGGTTAACCGAGGATGTACATGGATGGCCAGCCTATGGATGGTTGCTGTTGTGGTGTGCCTCAGCGCGGTGACGACGACACTGAGGGTTAACAGAGGATGTACAGTGAACAATGTTCTCTTCACTCCGCAATCTTTTAACCAAGGGTTGTGATTTTAGCTGTACGTTTGGCAAGAATGCTCATGTTCCTAATGAGTTTGATAACCTTTTTCACCCAAGCGTTTGGGGGCGGCCTGATGAGAGCCGCATGGACACATCACCTCTAGGGGCCGCCAAACTCCGAGATCCCCTGACAGCTCTGTTAATGCTCATTTGAGGCATTATCCATGGCGCACGACGAGGACGTGCTGCAAGGGTCTTGCGTGAGGTTCCGTAAAACCAGAACAGTGAAGGACTGGCGCCCGAGTGACGTACGGAGTATCTCCTTTTACACATCATGTTGGACTTAACTTCCCCTCACGCCTGTGACATAAATCACCACGCCATTTACAGCTGTTGAATGTGAAGAAGAAAAATAACTACTTATCTTCTATGAACAGTGATAATCATCCACACCTCATCTGTTTTCCACACACTCCCCCACACAAGGATTACTGTTCATCAGCTGACAGAGCCACCAAAGCCCTCCCCCACATTTATCCACACATAAATTACCTGATCAGCTTCTGTGACGCAGCTATCCAACCCCCCCCCCCCCCCAAGCTAGCCTTACCCTCCCTTACAGCTATCCAACTCCCCCCCTCCCCCCAAGCTAGCCTTACCCTCCCTTACAGCTATCCAACTCCCCCCCTCCCCCCAAGCTAGCCTTACCCTCCCTTACAGCTATCCAACTCCCCCCCTCCCCCCAAGCTAGCCTTACCCTCCCTTACAGCTATCCAACTCCCCCCCTCCCCCCAAGCTAGCCTTACCCTCCCTTACAGCTATCCAACTCCCCCCCTCCCCCAAGCTAGCCTTACCCTCCCTTACAGCTATCCAACCCCCCCCCCCCCCCCCCCCCCCCCAGCTAGCCTTACCCTCCCTTACAGCTATCCAACCCCCCCCCCCCCCCAAGCTAGCCTTACCCTCCCTTACAGCTATCCAACCCCCCCCCCCCCCCCCAAGCTAGCCTTACCCTCCCTTACAGCTATCCAACCCCCCCCCCCCCAAGCTAGCCTTACCCTCCCTTACAGCTATCCAACTCCCCCCCCCCCCCCCAAGCTAGCCTTACCCTCCCTTACAGCTATCCAAACCCCCCCCCCCCCCCCCAAGCTAGCCTTACCCTCCCTTACAGCTATCCATACATAAATTTCTTGCTCCGCATCTATGAGAGCAGAAAAATACCCACCCCCCTTTAAGTTATCCACACACCCACACCCTCCAATTACACATAAACCCAGCCACACATGGATTACCTGTTCATCTTCTGTAAAAGATGACAGTTGTCCACACACCTACACACATGGATTACCCGTTCATTTTCTGTAAAAGATTAGTTATCCACACACCCACATTACCCATTCATTTTCAGTAAAAGACAACAGTTATCCACACACCCAGACACACATGGATTACCCGTTCATTTTCTGTAAAAGATTAGTTATCCACACACCCACACACATGGATTACCCTTCATTTTCTGTAAAAGATTAGTTATCCACACACCCACACACATGGATTACCCGTTCATTTTCTGTAAAAGATTAGTTATCCACACACCCACACACATGGATTACCCGTTCATTTTCTGTAAAAGATTAGTTACCCACACACCCACACACATGGATTACCCGTTCATCTTCTGTAAAAGATTAGTTACCCACACATAAGACTTTCCTGTTCATCTTCTGTAAAAGATTACAGTTATCCATACACCCATACCCTCCAATTACACATCCATATGTGGATTACCTGTTCATCTTCTGTAAGAGGTGACATAGTGACGGGCTTCTGAATTTCTGTGGAGAAAATGGACAGGTGTTTCCGGACCTGGTCGGGGGGAGGGCTATTTTCCTGGAACAGTGACAGCATTTCTTCTCTGCCATACCTGTATTCTGTCAGTTTGAACTTCACACTCATGGTGGGCGTACCTGGCTGGGAACCGTTGGCCCCACCGTCAGACAGGTCACGCAACCTAGGGATAACAGTTTCAGGCAAACATGTGAATAAAAAGGTGAAATCATGAAAATAGGTGAACAGGAGAAAAAAAGGTGAAATCATGAGAATATATGAAATCATGAAAACGTGAAAAAAGGTGAAATCATGAGAATATATAAAATCATAAGAACAGATGAAGTCATGAAAAGGGTGAAAGTGGTGACAACATGTAAAATTGGGAGAATTGGTGTTGAAGTACTTAAAGGTAACATGTTAAATGGACAGGACTGCAAGAACGAAAGTTCTAACTGTGGAAGACCTTTTCTAATGTGAGCGGGTCTTGCTAGTCACACTCACTATTGCCATGGGTTGTGAGTCCCGTGCTTTCCCTAGCACAATATAACACTCATCATTATCATCATAAACCACTTCTGCTGTTAAGCAATGTTTGGAGGAATAATTTGCAATCCAGTGCACGCTGGCTGCCACTGGCTAATGTTATGCGTTAAGGCAGAGTATCTTTAACGTTGTCAATCTGAATTTTTCCGTAGCCATCCTCTTGCTCTTGTAGATGATCTTCTTAGATGTAGTACTAGTGATGGTATTTGATCTTGCTGCATTCTAAGAGATGGCCAAACCATTTGATTTGCTGTTTCTCGATGAATCTAGTACAAGGTATCATTCCCGCAATTTGTCTGATAGTTTCATTATTCACTCGATCTCGGATGGTTAGGTTGGCTGCTTTTCTTAGGCATCTTATCTCGCAAGTAGTGATTTTGCATATATGGGCTTTAGATTTATAAATATAACACTATTATCTGGAAAGACAGAAAGGTGCCAACAAAGAAAGTGGACAAAATGTGTGTATACCTTCTTTCTTTTTAGTCGCAATTTATGTTCTTTTACAATTTAGATTAAATATAACATTTTTATCTTCAGCATTCTGACCCTGTGGACGTCCTTCACCTACACTTATCTCTCTGACTGGCCTGTTCTTTCCAAGTGAGTCCAGGTGTCTGTGAGTCTGCCTGTAAATATTATCTCTCTCCCCGTGTGGGTTTGAGGGCCTAGTTGTAGGGAAAACAAGAAGAGACCCACTGCCTGTCTAAAAGCATGTCATAAGAGTCTACTAATTTGGAGCTTCCTTCGAAGTTAGAGTACATCTGCCTGAGAGGCAGGGAACCAACAGTCTGCATGCAAATGAGTCAGACCTGTGAAACGGATGTACATGCAACACTCAGGTTCTGGAACAGGACTAGAATCATGAAGTGGATGAACAACCAGAACTTTTTACCAAAACTAACGTCCAGTGAACGTGAAGAAGAAGAATATTATCTTTCTACCGTCTACTTGTTCTCTGCTCCCAGTCAACTCTTGTGTGTACTCTGTTATTCTCTCTATTGCAGTCCCAATGAACCAATCTGTATATCAGAGCTGGCTTTTGCAGACGATGTGGCCCTGATAGCTAAATCAGAGGCACACCTTCAGTCCAAATTACTTGTCTGGAAGGAAGAGCTTGAAAAGAAAGGGATGACCATCAGTGTCTCCAAAACTAAAACCATGGTGATCTCAAGAGAGGAGAAGAAACACCAGATCATGATGGGTCAGTATGCGTTGGAGCAGGTTAACCAGTTCAAATACCTTGGAGTTGTATTAGACCAAAATGGAGGCATTAAGACTGAGCTGGCTACACGAAAAGCAGCTGCTGGGAGACTCTTCCAGGCCATAAACCGAGGGTTTCTTAGCAAAAGAGAAATTGGCAAGAGGTCGAAAATGGCTGTTTACCGCTCTACCTATGTACCAGTCCTGACCTATGGGTGTGAGTCATGGGCAATGACAACAGCTCACAGAAGCCAGCTGCAGGCCTCGGAAATGAGATACCTGAGAAAGGTGGTCCAAGTGACAAGAAGGGACAAAGTCCGCAATCAGACAATACGTCAAGATCTTGATACCCAGCCCTTACTAACCCGAGTGGATCAGTCACAGTTACGATGGTTTGGACATGTGTGCAGAATGGGAGAAAATCGGCCACCATGGCAAGCATAGGAGGCTAAGAACCAGGGAACCAGACCTCCGGGACGACCCAGGGTGCGCTGGGAAGACAACATCCGACAGTCCCTGACTGACAGAGGAGTGGAATGGAACAAAGCCAGAAAGAAAACTGCTGATAGAGACGTCTGGCGATCTCTCTGGCAAACCTCTACACCCCAAGGTAGAAGAGGAGCGACTAAGTAAGTAAGTAAGTAAGTAAGCAGTCCCAATGATACCAGTAATTTGTGGCGACTGAAACAGATTCTAAATTTCATTGTTACTTCTCACTCTGCACTTTTCGCTGTTTGCCTTTCTGATGAATCCAAAGATTCTAACGATGACCAGTTTTTAAAAAAATGTATCTTAAATACAAAAAAGCTTTTTCCTTTCAGAAACATATCAGATTTATAAAAAGAGTTGATGAGGTAATTCAAGAACTGACATCGCAGAACACTGGGCATTCCCATTAGCGCTCCGTCCCCATCTTCAGCAGTCAGCGAAGAGTTCCAATGGCAGCAGCATTCTGATTAAACGTCTGTCTTGCCTTTCCTCTGAGTGTCGAGCATTAGCCAGAACCCCTTGTCACTGCCCGCTGCTATAGTCTCACCAGACTGTGATGATCCCTTTGCCTTCTCCAAACTGTACCCGCTCTCCCACACAGCCCTAACCACGTCTGCCTAATCATGCATCTATACTTCACCAAGTCGTGCAGAGCCAGCCAGTATTTCTGCCTGCTCATTGCACAACACACCGGCGTAACCCTGAGAAAAGATCCAGACAATACTCCTCACACATGACCTCTGCAGCGAAGCATGCCACTCTGCACAAAACATGCCTGTCCTGACCTTCCTCAGCATGCTTTCTGAGTCAGTTACAATCAAGGTGTGTGTGTGTAAGCTGCAGTGACTGCCTCCACCTCCATTCTTAAGCTGGATGTTGTGCTATCATACGCTAGGTTTTCCTGCACCAAATGTCAACTATTAACTAGCTAAGAAGCCCTAAGCACTTCTGTTGTCTCTTAACACTGTCTGTATAAATAACGACATCCTCTGAGTGAGCATTCAGAGAATCGTGCAGTGACTTGTTTTTTTTAACATTAGTTTTCCTCAAAAAATATCTCAACAGTAAGTGTTCTCCCCTAAACGTATGTTACAGATAACGAGTTTCCGCTAAAACGTATTAAGATATAAGGATTTTCCAATAAACACAAGTTAAATATAAGGAGTTTTCCCCTAAATACATGTTAAATATAAGGAGTTTTCCCCTAAACACACATTAAATATAAGGAATTTTCTCCTAAAACACAAAGCCAATATAACATACCATTGTGGACCAAACTTGAGTGCCATTTCCTAGATTTTCTCTTGATGACCGCGACGATTGAATGACAAATTAACTGGAGAAAACTGAGACGGGGACTGAAACACTGAAAGGAAAAAAAATGTTTCATTAACAAACAAACATTTTCATTTAGTATACTTTCATATATACTTTCCCACAAACTTTCATATAAACTACTGTCAAGGGTGATCGAGAGGTTTGCGAGAACCAAGTGACTGCGAATCTTCAACTGTGAACATAATGCAAGAACAGCGTTTAAGAGTACCCGTGTAGACTTCTGGCCCCATTGTTGGGAAAACAAGAACAGACCCACTGCCTACCAAAAAAGCATGTCTTAAGAGTCGACTAATTTGGAGCTTTCTTCAAAGTCAGGGTGCATCTGTCTGAGAGGCGGGGAACCAACAAACAGTCTGCATACACGAGTCAGAAAAGTAAAGCGGATGTGCACATAACAGTTCCTGGAACAGGATTAAAGTCTAGAAGTGGATGAACTCCCAAAAATTTTCATCAGAGTTTACAGCTGACGAAGAAGAAGAATAAAAAGGGGTGTGGCCAGATAAGAGCAGTATGCAGGAAGCCAAATAAGAACAGAAACCAACACAGAACTGGTGTCATCGGCCTCTAAATGCTGTAGGATTTAGAGACAAGGGGATCCGAGCACTTACGGACCGAATGGTTCGATGTCCAATAAGGATAATCTGTCATCTAACTAACTAACATTAAACTTAGCGTTTTTCTCTTTCTTTATCCCTTGATTTAGCATATTGCCTCCATCTGCTAAACCTTTATAATCCTTTTTTGGACATGTTTTCAACTGTGTGTTACTAGGGCACTCATAGTAACACTGCATACTACCAGGCATGCCGTAAACGGTGATTAAGAGTAGGATTAGGCTACCCCCCTCCTGTAAAAACAATAGCCCCAAAAACCAACCAACCATGGAAGAGTTACAAATGGTTAACAGGACATTTCAAGTTAACCAAGGAATGGGAGACTCTTCTAATAGAATAATGGCACAGTGCAGAGAAAGCCAAAAGGAGTCTGGATCACTGACGCACCTTTAACCAAGGAAAAATCTTAAGACATAGCACTTAGAATGTTTTATCTAGGTATAAGGTTGGAAGAGCTGTAGAGGAAGTAAATTAGTCGACATTTTATCCTCATTTAACATCGAACCATTCAGTGCATAACTGCTTGGATCCCCTTCTTATTCAATTCTGCAACGTACAGTGGCTGACAACAGTTTTATGTTGATTTCTTCTTTTTTCTTTGGCTTTCTACATTGTGCTCTTGTCTGCCCACTTTTAACTTGCACTGTCTGCAGTCTGGTCATGGTTGCAGATTAAGTTACTTGGTTCTCGGAAATGTCTTCTCATAAAGCATTCAGTATATCACCCTGGTTCACTGCTCATCTGCCCTTCAAAATAGCTTTACTTGCAAGCCTATCAGCTTGCTCATTTCTTTGCACACCTGTATATCCTGCAATTAAAATATAACTGTTCTTTGCCAGCTCTGACGACCTCAAAGACACTAATCAATGTCAATGGACCGAGTCCATCTCTATCTTCGAGAGCAATAGTAATTGAGTCACTGAGACAATAGGCAGGGATGAAAGAAAGTCTATGTCTTCAGCTACGTCACTGTTATGGTGGCTGTCATGACCTCTGTAGTCAGGGCAAAAGAACCAGAATCTTCCTTCAGAACTCTGCCTCAAACATGAGCCGTAAACGCCCAAGAGCTTTTCAGAGGTAGTAAAAGAAACCTATTCTCTATTGAAGGATTGAAGGCTGAAGAGGATGTGTTTTTTCTTACGTGATGGAGAAGCTAGCTCCAAGCCAAGCCAATCTTTAGAGGCCTTGCAGAATATACAGTGGAACCTCAGCATATAAATTTAATCTGTTCCATGACTGAGCTTTTTGGGGACTAACTCATATGGTGATTAACTCATATGATAAATAACTCATATCCTGAAGCTTACTTTCATGTAATACCGAGAGTCACCTGTACTACAACGTTAACCTTACTACAGTCAAACAAGTATGTGAATTCAAATATCTAGTAAGCATATTCACGAAAGATGGCAGACCAGATAAAGAGATAGAAGCCAGATTACAGAAGGCAAATTCTGTCACCTACCAGTTAGCCCCAGTGCACAGGCACCCAAATGTCTCTGTTCCAGTAAGACAGTAAATGATTAATAGCATGTTTATCCCTACTTGATGTTACCAGTGTCAAACATGGACAATAAATGGAGCACCAGAACTGAAAATTACATGTGAAATGCACTGTCTCTGCAAGGTCACTAACAAGACTAGAATAGACAGGGTTACAAATACGGGCATCAGACAGAAAGTTGGAATAAGACCATGTCTGGATTATACTGACAAAGAAAGAAAGAAAAATGGTTTGGCCATATAGTGAGAATGCAGCGAGATCAGACTGCATATGAGACTTTTTACAGTAAATCATCTGGGAGGAAGGCAAGAGAAAGACCACGAAAGAGATGGATAAATTGTGTAGCTGAAAACTGCAAAACAACCTGGTCACACAAGAAAAGCAAGACAAATACAGAAAAACCATGACACTGGGCTACAAGCTGGCATTAGTGAGATGACAAAAGAAGAAGAAGAATGCAGAGAGTTCTTGTCTCTGCAGCTCACATCCCAGATTTTGCCTCACATTCTGGGACCCCCAAAAATCTGGCAAGCTTGACCTCATATTCAGACAAACTCATATCCAGGTACACTTATATCCTTGGCTGCAAAGATTGTTACACTTCTTTGTTTTCCTTTATGGCTCAGCAACGCACATACAAAACCTTTCTCAATTGCCACTTATGACATCCTTAGCAAACTAGTGTTGCCTCTTCTAAAGGTCATCATGGTATCACAAAGTGAACCTAAACATTAAATCAGTAAGTTTTGCAGCTTTTTTTTATCAGGGGGTGCTCCACCTGAATAGATGGCAAGGACCCCCCACCCCTCCTTTAAGTTGTCCTCTCCTTTCTGACTTCAAAATAACAAATATGATTAAAAAGAGGTGGACACACAAAAACATCTCAAGCACTTAGAGAAAAACATCCACATAAATCACACAAATGTCAAACAGCACAATTTCCTTGACTTTTCTGCTTTATAGCTAGTTCTTAACAAATATTTTATTCATAATTAAAACCAAACAAATGTTAGTATGACAGATTATTACATACACAAATGCCCTCAATTTAAAATTTGCTTGACACCCCCCCCCCCCCCCAACTTTATTGGGCCACTGTAGGAGAGCCAGCCTCCAGGTTGAAAACCACAGATGCTCTACACCCGCAGGTTATAAGGATCACTAGTCTGTTGTCAGTCATAAAAGCCACACACACATGTGCCAGCTAACTGAAGTCATTTAATAAAAATTATAAGATTATGTTTGCTTTCTGCGGGCTGCAGGTGTGTTCATAAAGGGCCCATGTTTGATACTCTGGTCTGCAATAACTCAGGTGTCACAGTCAAAGAGAAAACAGAGCTAAGCTAAGGTACCAATACTATCATTATGTGTCGAGTAATGATTAACTCGATCACAACATGGTGGTCGTCTTACTTTAGCAAATATCAAGAAAGAAGACCATGATGATAAACAAAATTATTAAATAAACAACGTGCACAAAGGGAAAAACTGGTGCAAGGATTTATAAAAACAGAAAAATAACACGACGTTTATAAAAAATATTTTGTTTTCTACTGTGGGCTTTTTCAGCGAACAGTTATTCTGTTTCATTTTCCCTGCTCAGTTCGTTCGCAACTGCATGTTTATTTCGTTCCAAGTTTGGTCAGAAACAGAAAGAAAACAAAAGTCGCCCTACCTACTTCAATCAAATCAGCCACGATCTCATTCACAAAGCACCTACATAACGGCAAATAAGTCGTTGAAAACAAACAAAATTATATTTTTATTGATAAAGAAACCAGTAAAATCAATGAAATTGTAAAGAGGGGGTAAATAAATTTGAAACGGTGGAATAAATCGAAGGATTACCCTGGAGAACTTTACAACACGACAGCTCACTTCAAAGATGGCCGATAGACCTTAGTGCTGTAGACCCTCTCTTTTTCTTGGGTGCTACACGTCGTCATCATCATCATGTGCTGCCTTGCAGGCTGGCGTGGGTGATCAGGCCTTTCCACAGTTTACTTTACGATCTTCAACAGCATGCATAGGCACTGGAATTGGTTGCTAAGGTCCCTTGAGGGCTATCATTCAAAGAAAACTCTTTGAAAAGGCGGTGAGTGTCCTCCCAATAATTAATTGTGTAAATGGACCATCACGACTTGTTTACCCATTTAAATAAATTCTCGTTTAAAATATGTGTTTGTACGTTTTATATTATTTCAAGTGTAGTTTTATATTTATATGCCATTCAGCATAATAATAACAAAAATATTAGTGTTTTTAAAAAATACGATGTTTTTATTCTTTGTTCACCGGCTGTAAACTCCAGTGGAAAGTCCTGGTTGTTCGTCCATTTAGACTTTGGCTTTGTGCCAGGGCCTGAGTTTTGAATGCACATTCGTTTTACTGGCTTATTTGTGTGCGGTTGGTTGTTCCTTGCCGCTCGGGCAGATGGACTCAGACTTCGAAGGAAGTTTCCAGTCTGTCTACCACAAAACATCTTTGTTACGGAGGCAGTGAGTCTATTCTTGTCCCCCCCCCCCCCCCCATGAGACCCCGGAACCCAACAAATATAATAATGTACCTGGAACATATAAGCCGGAATATGGGTGATGGGGCCTCAGGTACATTGAGCACCCCCACCCCTCCCACCCCCATCCAATAGAATGTGTTCATATTTTGTCCACTCCAGTAAGTAGTGGCTCTATATTATTGTACATCTGGCAAATTTCTTCCTGTATGCTAAAGCAACCCTAACCAGGTTGTAGTTTAGCAGTTTTTGATTATATAACAAATTCTTTTCAGAACGTCGCTCCCACCGTTGAGAAGATTCAGTTTCTCGTCAGTTTTC